AAATACAAAAAAACATGAAGGAAGCCTGTTTTCTGTTTTTTTCTGTGTGAATATCACAAAAAAAAAATCTAAATGGTGCACATGACTTCAAAAATAAATACGTTTTAACACGCTCACTCCTGCTCAGCTGAAGTGCTCGCTGCAAATATTGCCTGCGTCTCCAGAGAGAGAGACACGGCGCACGGCAATCCACACCATGCAGCGCGTCATCAGGCATCCTCCTGACAGACGGGGTAAAAAGTGTAAAACACACTCTCACATCCTCTGCTGTGTGCCACCTAAATGTATGCAGCCACAATATGTACATCCAAGCAAGAAGCATGTGCGCGCACACACACTCATTTACACATACACTCGCGTATACTTTTGTTGAGCAGGTATCAAAGCCTCGGTGTGGCGAGACAGTTTTAATTACCAGGTACTTTCCTTATGCTTATGATTTCAATTTCTCTCTGCAAAGCTGGTAATGATATTCAAAAAGCCTGCTGGCAACTCCGACTCCTTCTTCTCCCCCTGTCTTTCCTTCCCACTAAAATGTGAATACCCTAGTTTATGGGCTTATTTGTCCTCCAGTCACTTTCTAAAATCTTTATTCTGTCGAACATGTCTTTTCTTTCTTTCTTTTTTTAATGTGAGCCTCACTGGAAGGAATGGCAATAAAGGTTTTTTAGGGGGGGGAAGAGAGGAGCGGAGTAGGGAATGGGGTAGGGTTGGGTGGGAGGGGGATCAATGTAGAATGTATTATCCTGCACTACTGAGACCTACTTCAATAATAAAAGAATTGATCCTTTAAAGTGAAGCTTTATTCCGGGCCTGGCATAGTGAAGGAGGATGGTCCATTCCAACACTGCACAGGCCAGATGGAGACTCACAGCAGGCAATTTCACCACCCACCCAAAGTTTTTCACATTGTATTTTAAATCTGTGTTAGAATCAGTTGCAAAATCACAGAGGAATTCTTGCTGAAATGCATGCATTATAGAGAAGCATGTCCAATAACGCAGCATATGTTATAACATATTCTGCTGGTGGTACTCAGGCAAAGCCAAGCTCAAAAGAGCTTTTTTTGGAGGCTTGAGGGATTAATACATAGGATAACTTAATCTAATATTTTATAGCTTGTTAGTCATAGGATCTCATTAATGTCTACATTAATCTACAGTGATTTCATCAATTTAATTTATAACGCTCTGACGTCTCAGTCATCATCAATAAAAACCCTAACCCTTTTTTTAAAATTGTTTACGGTTAGGGTTGGGGTTGGGGTTACTACACATGATAACTTAGGGACAAGCAACCTCCCCAGGGTTAGGGTTCAACCTTTTTTTTGCAGCTATCAGTTAAAAAGGTAAATTTTCAAAAACTACAAGATGGCACATTTTGGCATTATTGTTTTCGACATTTTCTTAAAAAAGGCAAACCTATTAACCAAACCCTAACCATAACTCTAACCCTGAATATGTCGATGGCAAACTGCTGGATGATGATAACAGGTATAAATATCGTGCTGTCAAAACAGGAGCTGGACACATCAGATCCCAGCAGTGCTTCTGTACACAGCCGCCAGTCGTAAAGCGCCAGCAGTAATCAAACATGAGGGGTGTATATGTAACAAGCACACTTCACAGTATGCCTTAACAAGCACACTCCACACGCTAATCAGCTCAAGTGGACTTGCATCCATGGCTTTGGTTTCCACCCGGCTCAGATGATGAAACTATTTGGATGGTATCAACAGACATCACCGATTCGCGCAAAGGTTCGTCGTGGTGCGGCTGGGAGGGATGATGCCTGTGGTGCCCAGTGATTAAAACAAAGCGTTGGATGCAAAGAGAGGGTCAGAACTAATCGGAGAGAAATAACACACATACACAGGGCGTGCTTTTTCTCAGCAATCTTAAATGCTACCTGCATCGATTCTCCCGCAGGCCTCTAAAGACTTTTCTTCTCGCAGGACAGACGAATCGACACAGCGTCACACTGGGAGCTCTGCAGTATCCACAACTGTGCGGCAGCAAAGGCCACAAACAGCATTGTGAAGTTCACCTGACCACTCAGCAGTTATGGGACTGATCTCCCCTTGGCAAGAAGAAGGCCTTACAGGAAGGAGTTACCACTCTGGAACAACAGCCAGCAACAACCACCTCTCCCTAAAGAGCTGTGGATTATACAAGGGGTGGGGGGGCTTCACCTCCTAATAGCCTTCAACAGCACAATTTAGAATACCTGGAGTCCCTATTCACAAGGACTTCAGAAGGGCTAGTTACACTCCAATGTAGAAAGAAAGAAAGAAAGAAAGAAACCCAGCAAAATTGTACCTGTGTGTCCTTAAGTGCATAAAGACATTTGGCTTGAATCTTTAAATCTGCGGGGACTTCTACCAAAGACAGCCGTCTGACGGACTGCTTTACTGCCCGATATGTCAACTACATCAGCAAGGACCGTGAGGCTCCACAGAGGGTGGTGCATTGCTCAGCACATCATTGGGTGCAAGCTGCACAAGTCTGCGAGAGCCGTAAACCCAGCAGTGCCTCAAGAGGTCCCCGAGAGTCATAAAGGACACAACACAACAGCCTGTTGTTCCTTTATACACCACGCAGTAGCAGACTGAGGAACAGCTTTCTTTCACAAGCAATAAGACTACTGGATTAACACAAGTGCGATCCAGCCTCTGTGCACTGCCATTTTTATACGTAGTATGTATTTGTTCTTACAACTTAAAATACTGAACCTCTTAATATCCACAAATATTATTATTAGCAACTCATCTATATTCAGGGTTTGATTAACTTTTACTTGTTTTTTTAGATTTTAACAGAAATAAGCTAACCCTAACCCTTTGCTGATGTGTGACATTTTTTAGTTTCTTATCATTTTCCCAACCTAACTCTAATCCTACACTTATTTTACTTTATTAATTGTTTCTTATTTTCCAAGAATCATGCACAAAAATACTGATTTTATAATAGAGAAAATGAATTTTAGCAGATTTAGCTACTAACTAATTTGCATACACAATCCCTGAGCAGGTATTCACAGTATTAGAGTAATATAATAAAATAAAAACACACAGCTTAAAATGCCAAAAATCACATGCACTGTGAAACCATTACACACACCCCGATTCAATAACCACACTATGCAAACACTACATACACACAGTATAGAAATTGGCATCATTTTTAAGCATTTAATCATTGTTATTATTATTTATGCATTACTATGGAACCTCCCAGCCTTAATATTTCACAATTATGTGAAAAGAAAAATTATACTGATGTGTAACTAAAGTGTCACCAGTGAGCTCAACGTGACTTCTTTCAATGTCTTTTTTTCCCTTCTAATGAATATGATGATATCATAATATACAAAACGAAAAGCAGCAAGGCCTCCTGTGTGACAGGCTGCAAACAGCACTGATGTTGCTCGTCATAGCACGGATGGGTGAAACAACTGACACCGATAACTGAGCCTTAGAAACGATGTGCTGCTGTTTCAGCGCCTGTGCAGCTGCTTGAAGCCTGACAAACAAAAATATTTCCAACCTTCTAATTTTTTAAAGTTAGAAGGGTAAAATTCAGATCTGGAAACCTGATCTACAGACTTGTATTCCTTTTGCACCAGGGCGCACAGCGTGAAAAGTAATAACAATTTGCACATTAAGTCACATAAAATATCTGGTTTTTGCAGCCTTAATTAAAAAATATGTATATATTAAAACTTCCCTAACAACACACACACATACACACACAAACAGTGACCCCAAATTCCACCCATAGATTGGTGGTGGTGAGGGTGTGTGTGTGAAGAGACGGGACAGATGCCCGCTCCTGTAATCCCATCAACTCATGTCAGACAGCAGTCTGGATACAAGCCTATCTGTGAGGCCTGTAATCCACGGGCTAAGACTTCACACGCAGCACTTATCGGTCCACACACATGCAGACACACACTCTTACGAGATATTTGGGGGAGAAAAGTGATAGTAGATGGGTCCCCCACTCAGTTTGTGTGAGGGAAAGGAGAATCTGCATGTAAGCGAGGTTAAAAACATCTTTTAAGATTCCAAATCCTGTAAAATAATCACAAGTAAATGGATCAGATGAGCTTTAAAAACTAGTTGAAATGGATCTTAAAATACAAACAGAAAAGCAAACAAAAAAAAAGATTTTTACTGAGGATGGGGAAAAAGAACAGAAATTTGATTACACTGTGAACAAAATCTGTCTGGCTTTGATGGAACTGAGAGTGCCGAGCGTGTTGGTGCTGACATATTACATGAGGAATAATAAAATAAAGAAAAGATGCTCTGTATAATTTGTACATTAGAATCTGACTAGTGGAAGAAAAAGAAGAAGCAAAGAAAAAAACACGTCTTGAGATAGGAACGAGAATAAAAGCCACAAACACTCCCACTGCGCTTAAAAATCGCAGAATATGCTATTCAGATAAAAAAAACATTACACATTCATTCAAACGGTGCTCAAAAAGGACAAAAACACAAGATAATCTACAAGCGGGCATGCACAAATTCCTTAATGCCGTCAACACAGTTTTTTTCTTTTTTTTTTGCTGTCAACCCATTCAATCAATCAGCGGTCCAGAGAACAATATGTTCCATTATCATTCAGATACATGCAAAACGCCACGGAGAGAGAGAGAGGAGGGAGAGGGGGGAAAAAAGAAGAAGAACGAGAGAGATAAAAAAGGCAAGTCGGACAAGGCACCCCTGCTCATGTCTTCCTTCAAAGAGAGGGAGAGGGAGGGAGGGAGAGAGAGAGAGAGAGAGAGAGAGACTCAGGGTGCAGGACCCACACGGTGTAGTTCCAGCCAATTGCGTTCCAGAGAAGTGACCATGGCCAGTGATAAACAAAGCACCATAGATCATTCTTCTCCCAGACGGAGCCCGGCGCTGGAGGCAGCGGAAGGGAGAGAGCGGTCAGACAGACAAGAGAGCAAGACAGAGAGAGAGGAGACAGAGAAGACCACAGAGAGCTCACCGCCTATATTGCCCCTCTGCTATCCTCAGATGCTACATTTTGACGCCCTTTTTTTTTTGCAACTGGAATGCCATTAAAGCCGGCCGTGTCGCACGCCTGCAGAATTTGTCTCTGTGACAAGAAGGAGAGAGCGAGCCAAGAGAGAAAGACAGAGAAAGAGGGAGGGAAGCTGCTTCTGCTGCTGCTTCCTTCTCCCACTGCCACTGTGCCGATGCATCATATTTAAAAAAGAAAGAAAGAGAAAAAAAGCAACAACAGCCTTAAATTGTTCCCACTTCCCTAAGAGAACTGAAAAAAGGGCATTCAAACACTTACCCACTCCCAGATACAAGACTCAGAGTCAGTGTTCATTTGAGCCCAATGTGCGTCAAAACAGAAACCTCAGATATTCCTCAAAAAAAACAAAAAAACAAAAAAACAGACGTGCAAAGAGGAGCAGTGAGGTTCTCCCTCTTTTGTTTGTGTGCTTGCCTGCCTAGGTTTCTCTATTTGCATCAGCCGGCTTTTTTTTACAGCTTTGAAGCAGGTGGATGACAAAAACATCAATCTCTCCAGGCACATTGTGTGGCATGCACGCTTTGACACACTCCCCTCACCAGCTCTATACTGTATAATCACACTTTCCCATTCTCTGCTCGCAGCACCGCAAATGAATACGGGACTCAAAAGGAAACCGAAGGACAAGTGCGCATTGTCGGGGAGCACTTCTGTAGTAATCATGTTGTCATTGGATTAGAATAGGAATTTGCTGGATCTCTAGAGTTTCATTTGCCATATGTTGAGGTGATTTTACTAGTTGCTGTTTAAGGGGAGACACTGGTGGATTTAATATACGGAGAAAAGTGTTCTTTAAGAGCCCCCTACAGAATTATTTGTGTTTTTATGGATGGGAAATGGACTGATTCCTATATAGTGCTTTTCTTCTCTACTTGAGCACTCAAAGTACTTTATACAACACGCCTCATTCACCAATACAAAAACTTTCTTCTATGCCTTAATGGCTTCTAACTAACATTCACACACATTCACACTTTACATCGAAGAGCAACTTGGGATTCAATGTCTTGCCCAAGGATACTTTGGCTAATCGTACGGTTGGCGGTCGGAGCAGTCAACCACCAACCATAAGATTAGCAGATGACCTGCTTTACTTCCTGAGCCATTCTGTAAAAACACAAACCTGCTAAAGAGTAATGGTAAGGTGGTGTCAAATTTAAGGAAAACCAAATTTAAATGGTGGCTCAAGCTTGACCTTAAAGTTCCATTAACTATACAGACAATGATCAACATCTCTGCTTTTAGTGGTAAATACACTACCAGTCAAAAGTTTGGACATACCTTCTCATTTATTTGTTTTTTTTTTCTATTTTTATAATGTTCTACAATGTAGATACACACTGAAGAGATCAAATGTATGAAGCAAGATATATGGAATTATGTACCAAATTGAAAAATAACTTCAAATGTGTCATATTTTTTAGAATCCTGAAAGTAGGTACCCTTTGCTTTGTTGACCGCGCTGCAAACCCTTGGCCTTCTCTCATTGAGCTTAATGATGTAGTCTCCTAGAATGGTTTTCACTTCACAGGTGTGCCTTGTCAGGGTTCATTTGTGGAATTTCTTGTCTTCATGGGACCATCAGTTGTGTTGTGCAGAAGTTAGCTTGGTACACAGCTGACAGCCCTATTTGACAACTGTTAGAATTCATATTGTAGCAAGAACCAATCAGCTAAGTAAAGAGAAACGACAGTCCATCATTACTTTAAGAAGTGAAGGTGAGTCAGTCTGGAAAATTGCTAAAACTTCGAATGTATCCCCAATTGCACTCGCAAAAACCATCAAGTGCTGCGACGAAACTGGCTCACATGAGGACCGTCCCAGGAAAGGAAGACCAAGAGTCACCTCTGCTGCTGAGGATAAATTCATCCGAGTCACCAGCCTCAGAAATCACAAGATAACAGCACGTCAGATTAGAGCCCGGTTAAATGGCACACAGACTTCCAGTAGCACATCTCTAAATCAGCTGTTCAGAGGAGACTTTATGGTCAAATAGCTGCTGCGCCATGGCCTGGCCTCCACAGTCACCTGGCCTAAACCCAATCAAGATGGTTTGGGATGAGATGGACCGCAGGGTGAAGGCAAAAGGGTCAACAAGGGCTCAGCATGGGAACTCCTTCAAGACTGTTGGAAAACCATTTGAGGCAACTACCTCATGAAGTTCATTGATAGGATGCCAAGAGTGTGCAAAGCAGTAATCAAATCAAAGATATAAAAAAATATAAGACATGTTTGGAGTAATTTTACACTTTTTTGTATACTAGAGCAGATACTAAGCCATAGCTATCTGTTGGTCATGTGTCGATCAAAGTAGCCATGCGGCCAGGTTGTACTAAAATATTTGACAGATTTTCGAGCGCCGTGTACATAAAATCGTTTTGAGGTCAGTAAACACAACCAGAATTCATACATAAGGCACACGGGATTATAAGGGGCTCTGTCGATTTTCAGAAAAATCAAAGGATTGATTTTAAGTGTGCCGTATTTTCCAAAAAACACGGTAATAACGCCGGCTCGCTAGCATGCGCTACCAAAAATAGTGCTTTGTTGTGTATCTGACGGTTGAAAGCTAAACCAGTTCCACACTGAAGTTGCAGCATTTTTACAAACCAATTCTGGTTCATCCGTTTCATTCAACGATCTGCTTTCGCCCTCCTCATTCTTCGTCGCTGCCGGCACGCTTTTTCTGCCATGTGTGTATGAAAACAAATGCGCGTTTTACCCAAATTCTATCGCGATATTTCATTTTCTTATCGTTGCCCAACATTAAACCAGTATTACCATGAACGGTATGATATGGCCCAGCCCTAGCTTGGAGTTTACAAACCAGCAGGTGATGGTAGGGGCAGGGATAGCTCAGTAGGTAGAGCGGTTGCCCCATGATCGCAAGGTCAGGGGTTCGACTCCCCTGAACGGCTACCCTGAGGTACCCTTGAGCAAGGTACCATCCCCACACGCTGCTCCCCGGGCGCTGCACTGGTGGCTGCCCACTGCTTCACTGAGTGAATGGGTTAAATGCAGAGAAGAATTTCCCCACAGGGATCAATAAAAGTGTACATTATCATTAAAAGGACTGGTTCTTATGTAGCACTTTTTTTCCTCTGCTTTTGAGCTACTACAGCCCACCAACCTTCATCTGTTGTTCTACAAGCTATTGACTTCACAGGACTACATAGAGTCCTATGAAAACTTTATTTTTCACATAATTGTATCTAGTAATTAGCAATAATAAACTAATAGCATACCAAGAAAACAGTAACTGATTCACTAAAACTGAAGCACAAATTTCTTGAATGGGCTTTAAGACACAGCAAGCCATATTTTTGACAGATAATTACATTATAAAAGCTCCACAGCAGGAAGATCCACTTCAGTGGCTGTAATTAGCAGATCTGAAGCAAAGAAGAAAATGAGGAGGTAAAGCTGACTGTGTGAAAATACCTGTCAATCAAATAGGCAGGTATCCAGAATGATGGATTAAAAAAAGAAATTGTATCCCTATAGAGTTGTTATGAAGTGGTGAATATCCATAGTCTAAAACACATTTTTCTACCAGGCTATAAAATATACTTTTTAATATTGTATTATTTGACACTCTAAATCTGTAATTGGTCTTAGTGATGAGGGGGTTCGGGCATATGCAGAAAAGCAATGAGGACAGTGCATCAACTTGGAATATTCCACACTTGATGGCATCTTGTGCGATTGCCTTGGAGTAGGCCTCCGGTGTGGTCTTCCACAGTCTCACTGAGTTGCTAATAAATGTTAGCACACTATCAACCTTGTACAGTGTCAAGCACTCCCATATCCATGATTGGTCTGCCTGGTCTTAGAGTTCTGGTGTACTGCTCTGTCAACCTGCTTTGGTCCTCTGGTGTTATTTCCAAAGATTTTTTTAAACTGTGCTTACGTATTGACTCCTGTGCCTACTCACCATGGTGTCTAAAATGCCTGAGTGTCCCTTAAAGGGATTTTTTTATGATGGGTCTGGATGGATCAGTCTGGATGAGTACCTCATTGGGTGCTGTTAGGTTCTTCAGCCAGTAGGTGCAGATGATGTCAGGTCTTTGTACTGTTCAGCTCTTCATTTTGGAAACTGCTTGGATGTCTTCCTTTGTGATGTTGACTGGCTATGCTCTGGGAGACTGCTGCGGTCTGCTCTTAGGTCCACTAGGCACTTGGCAGTGGTGTCAACTCTTTCTCTTAGACTCTTAGATTTTTGTCCAGCATTATTAAGTTTCAGTGTTGGGTCCCTTGTAGATAAGAATACGTCCTAGATGGATCTTTGGAGAACAGACCATGTATTCTCCTGGCCTCTGTGTTTCTGGTATATCGCTTCAGTTTAGTGGCAAGAGTTATGAGCCTTTGTTTGGCAGTTTGTAAAACGTCAGTAATCAACATCTCGTTGTGTCTCTTTTTCATCCAGGACCTGTCTCTCATGATACTTTTGTGTATGAATAAGTATGAAAAAAACTATTATGAATAAGTGTGGAATATGTGTGGCCAAATGGCTGTAAAGTGAGAGAAGGTGACCTACCAGCAGGCAGAACAGCAGTTATAGGGGATAGCTACAAGTGTCTGGGTATTCCACAGGCCAACTAGAACCATGATAAAGATGCACAAAGGTCAGCCACAGCCAAATACATTCCAGAAAATAAGACAGGTGCTGAGAAGTCAGCTGAATTGTTGGAATTAAATCCAAGCCATCAATACATATGCCCTTCTGATCATCAGATGCCCAGCTGGAATAATAAATTGGCCACAGAAGTAGACACATGCCACTGATGTCAAGACACAATGCACGGTGTCCATCTGAAGTCCAGCACTTTTTCTATGGTTCTTTGAGCGACATAGAGTGATGGAGGGCAAGGAGAAGTGCAGGTCAGAGTCACAATCCAGGCTGAAACACAGAGCATCTGCCAAATAGGGATGGGTATCGTTTAGGTTTTATCCTATACTGGTGCCAAACTGGTACTTTTGAAACTGAGAATCTGAGCATAGCAGTACAAGAACAAACCCTAAGCACCAGATCCATAGAGACAGTGCAGAGGAACATCTGGGCCACATATGGACTAGAAGTCCCCAAGTCCTAATGGGAGACACCACCACAAGTGGTTAAGAACAACAGGAATAGGTTCTAGACCAGGGGTGTTGAACTCCAGTCCTTGAGGGCCGGTATCCTGAAACATCCTTTACATGTGTCCCTGCTGCAACACACCTGAATAGAATTTGTAGGTCATTAGCAAGTCTTGACTACATGCAGAGGTGGCAACTGCTAACCCTACTCAAGTAAATTTAAATAAAAGGTAAATAAAAGTACTTCTAAAACTGCTTTTATTGCACCATGTTCATTCACTCTTGAGCTGCTGCAACATGAATCACCAGCATGCAGTTCACTTCTGTGGACCTACTAAATTTTATTCAGGTGTGTTGCAGAAGGGAGACATGTAAAGTTTCAGAACATCGACCCTCGAGGACTGGAGTTTGACACCTGCATTCTAGGCCAACCAATCACATGTAGTGGTGGTTGACAAAGTAGTGATAGATATGACAATCCCAGTGGAAAGCAACTACTGGAAGAAGGAGCACACAAAATAGAGAAGCATCATGGGGTGAAGAAACAACAGATGTGGAAGGATAAGTCAAAAGTGGTCTCAGTGGTAATAGGAGGATTAGGAGCTGTTACCCCAAAAGTGGAAGAATGGCTTTACCAAATTCCAGGCACATTTCGGAGGGCTCTGTCCACAAGAGCGTAGTCCTAGAAACAGGACCCTCAAATTCAAGGCTGTCTGGTAGAAGACCTGAGCTTGAGAAACACACCAACCCCCAGGGCAAAGGTGTCAAACTCTGGCCCACGGGCCAGATTTGGCCCGCAGCCTAATTACATTTGGCCCGCGAAGCTGGCCTACTGGTATTATACAGCTAATATATATATTGTTTAGTATTAAGCTTTGCTTGTTCCATATTCAGTTTTCCAGCAAAACTTATTTGAGTCCATAAGAAAAGATTCATTCCTATATCTGGAGGAAGATTTTTTTTTTGATAAATATTAATGTTAGCCCGCGACTTTGTTCCAGTTTTAAATTTTGGCCCACTGTGTATTTGAGTTTGACACCCCTGCCCCAAGGGATGAGAGCAAGATTATATATAAAATAAAAATTATGTTTCTGTCAATTAGACGCAATTACATAATGGGCAATAATGTCGGTAATTTTCAGTAATTTCAACAGTTAAACCTTCCGTAGAGACCGGCAGTTAATCAGTAAAATCATCAACACACTAACGTTTAAACGTCACACCAACGACTGTCAAGAAACTTCAGAATTACGATACTTTTTGTAAGTCTTTGAAAGCAACTCGATGACGTCGACTGTTTGGGATTTAATGGCGGGATGCAGGGGTTGCGATTGATTCTCCTGTCAACGCACCTCTTGCTAATTCTACGTTTAACAGCTTTAGCTTGAATTTCTCAGGTTTGGTTCAAGTCAGCGACTAATCAGAAAGTGCCAGTCTGTACGGTCCAACTCAAGCTAGGAAGTAGCCACCCTGCTTTGCGAGCGGAAACTTAGGCGTAAAAGGTCATAGAAAGTTTTATGGAGAAATCACTGGTAAACGATAACCCGTTGCTTGTACCTCTCAACAAGCAGCAGACAGTCTACGATGGATTTATCACTGTTCAGGTAAAATTATGCGTTTGTGTGTTGTTTTTTGTTGGACGTATGTCAGTGTCATATTGAAAAAACGATTAATTTAAAGATTTTTTTGCTTTGGATGCAAATACTTGTCTGGAAACCATATATTTAGACATCTAACTGATTTATAGAAACTTCTGGTAAATTCGTCCTGTTTTTTAAGCAGCTTACATTAGTATCGGTAGCAGAACCGTAATTGTATTAGCGCATGAAACGACTTCATAAGCTGGTATATAATCTTGAAAGCAGTTACTTACTACGAGTGTCATGCCGTATTAAAGCGATGAAAAAAAGTTGAAAACGTGGTCTAAAGTAAATTTCTATTATTTATGTGTCTCTTGAAACACCCAAAGAAACGTAATATTATCCAATTCCTTAACGTAGGTTGGTCGGTCACGTGTTCTTCATTAGCGCGTTAGTTGTAGAAGGCATTAACCTCTGTGGTACACTGATCGCAGAGCTAGTAATCTGCTTTAATAATGCTTTGTCTTGTCTCCCCCCCCCCCCCAGGAAAGAGACTTCAGGATGAGAATAGTACTCCCACCAGATCGACAGCTCAAGGAGGCCAAGTACAAGCATCCCCTTGCATTCTCTGTACAAATGTTTTAAATGTGATACGGGATAAGGTCTAATAAGGGAGTTGTAGTAAAGTGCTGCTATAATGTAGTAGTTAACAGATTTGCTTAGTAAACTAAAAGCTGATTCCAGCCAAAGACTCAAAGAACCTTTGGGGTTGCATCAGGAAGGGCATGCTGGGTAAAACTGTGCCAAACAGAAATACCTTAAAAATATATAATTTTCATGAAAATGACTTATAAAAGCTTCCAAAGAATAAAAAGAAAATAAGATTTATATGAAATGGCTTAACTTTCCCACATGTAGTTATGACCAACATCATCAAGCAAAGGCTCTTTTCAGGCAGAATCAACTTCATTATAAGGAAGTAACAGTATTTTAGTGTATCTTAATTTGTGAGAGCTAACTTAACAGTATTGTTTAGTAACAACATTAAACTGCATTGTTTGGTTCCTAAGACATATCCTCAGCTTTCTGCTGCTTCCCCTTAAACCAAAACTGAATTTCTGTTGCTGCTATTTTTCCTGATTCGCGTCTGTCCCTGCTCAATTTTACGCCCCACAGGTTATTAATTATAAGACTGTGGTCTGTTTTGTGTATTCCATTCAGTTTTATTGATATAGCGCCAATTTACAACAACAGCCACCTCTGGGCACTTTATATTATAGACCTTACAATAATAAAAAGAAAACACCAAAAATCAGATGTTGACAGCGGGGAGAAAGAACTCCCTTTTAAAAGGAAGAAGCCTCCAACAGTACCAGGCTCAGGGAGGGGGAGCTGATATAGAGAGTATCTTGAACCAAAACATTCTACAGGGTGGGCCATTTATATGGATACACAGTAATAACATGGAATGGTTGGTGATATTAAAGTCCTGTTTGTGGCACATTAGTATATGTGAGGGGGCAAACTCCTCAAGGTGGGTGGTGACCAATGGTGTGCTTGGTTTCAACGTAACTTTATTCTTTCATGAGTTATTTACAAGTTTCTCTTTGTTCACAGCCATTGACATGTCGAAGAGGTTAACACATGAGGAGCGGATCGAAATTGTGTTGATATCTGGTGAACGCAGTAACCGGGTCATTGCAGCAGATTTCAATCCAACACTGAACCAGTTTCACGAAACTTAACAAGCAGTTTGTTAACTGTAGTATGGGAGATGGGTGGTCTCGTAGGGTGTCTTGCACATTCCCTGAGTTTTTCCAGCAAGATGGTGCACCACCACATTATGGGTGCCAGGTCCGAGCATTCCTAGATGAACAGTTTCCTGGAAAGCAGATTGGTCGTCGTGGGCCAGTTGAATGGCCCCCAAGGTCTCCCGATCTGACCCCCTTAGACTTTTATTTTTGGGGTCATCTGAAGCCAATTGTCTATGGTGTGAAGATACGAGATGTGCAGCACCTGAAACTACGGATGCTGGATGCCTGTGCTGGCATTTCTCCTGCGGTGTTGCTATCAGTGTGTGAAGAGTGGGAGAAGAGGGTCCCATTGACAATCCAACACAATGGGCAGCACATTGAACACATTTTATAAGTGGTCAGAAACGTGTAAATAACTCATGAAAGAATAAAGTTACGTTGAAACTAGAGCTGGGCGATAGAACGATAACGATATGTATCGCGATATAACTTTTACTCGATAGAGAAATTAAGCTATCGCGATAGACCTCGCCGCGCTTGTCCTCTTAAAAAAAAAAAAAAAAAAAAAGGTCAGCCAATCCAAATTAGGTAGCGCAGAGCCGAACCAATCACAGCCGCAGCGTTACGTACAGCACAAGTGCCAAGCCGCACGTGTGTTTGTTTGGGAAGCAGCCAGCGCGTAATGGAGGAAATGAGTGTGCCGACTAGAAAAATCAACCGAGCGTGACCGAAGAGAAAACAGATGATGGTTCCAATGCCGGAGAGATTGTCGAACGGAAGAGCCAAAGAAGTTCCGTAGTGTGAAGGTATTTCGGCTATTTCAAGTCTGACAAAAAACAGAGTAGCGTGCACTGTAAATTGTGCCGAAAGCAAGTCTTAAATACAATAAACTGGTGCATGCGTCACACTGTGCGCCACGTTATTGTTTCGGTGAAATGAATTTCTACAATACTGTTAATTCTACTCTCTGCAGTGTTTAAATGCTTACATATACACACAGTTACTGTCCCTTCACACATACGACTCGGTTCTGCTTCTATGCCCCAGCTTTGTTTACTTTTTCCCACCGAGGCTTCTAGACTTCTGATTGGCCAACATTTCTGCACGGTTAGGAATCTAGCACCACCTGCTGCTTTGGCATGTTCATAGCAGCGTTTTCCTTCATTTCTGCCTTTATGTGTGGACGGATTATTTTTTAAAACGAAAACGGAAAATCTCCGTTTTCAAAAATACCCGTGTACGTGTGGACGTAGCCTCAGTCTCTGACTGGAAGCGCTAATTCGTCATTCGGCTTTTGTCGGACTAAAGTAACTGTTAAAACTGTTTGAAAAGCTCAGCTATACAACAAGGAGAGATTGAGAATTTCCTTTTAGTTCTCAGTTTATTTGATATTGACAAAAGTTAGTCAGTTTTGTCTGTTCTTCTGTAAAACAAACTAAGATTTATTTTTAGAATTAATATTTTGTTCCTAAGTGGAATTGACAATTTAGTCTGTTTCGTTTGTTCTATTTTGAAACTTAAACGCTTTAGCGGCTGCCTTTTGTGTAGTTTGCAATATTTGCCTTTATTTATCTGAAAAAGTCTCATGTTCCTTAAGTACATCTACCCTGTTGAACTTATTATGGGAAATAAATATTTAAATAAAAACAAGCTGCTGATTATTTCACATTTTACTTGTGAGCAACGGCACATTTAAATCTTACAAATATAGTTATTTGGCTTATATCGTGTTAGATATCGTTATCGCCTGAAATGAAAAAAACATATCGTGATATGAAAAAATCTCATATCGCCCAGCTCTAGTTGAAACCAAGCACACCTTTGTTTTTCTTGTGACATTACCAATAAGTTTGATGTGTCACATGGCCCTCTTCCTATTGAAAAAACAAAAGTTGTATCCAAGATGGCCGACTTCTAAATGGTCACCATTGTCACCACCCATCTTGAGGAGTTTGCCCCTCACATATACTAATGTGCCACAAACAGGACTTTAATATCACCAACCATTCACATTTTATTACGGTGTATCCATATAAATGGCCCACCCTGTACTTTTAACCACAAGTAAGTCTGCAGTGTGAGAGTGAAGTTATCTGTTGACATAATATGATATTATATGGTCTTTAAGATATAACGGAGCGTGATTTTTCTGGACTTTATATGCAAGGAGGAGGATTTTAAATTCAGTGCTGGATTTAACAGGGAACCGATGAAGGTTTAGGGGAAATTGGATCTCTGCCTCATGCACATTTGCTGTATGTATTCGTATGATTGCATCTCACCCTATCCTGAGCATCTTAAGGATTCACTAGATTTCTAAATGTTGTCTATGGTCTTCCTCTTCCTCATACATTTCAACTCCACATGGCATCCTTTGTCCAATCTACATACAGTTACTAGCTTTGTTAAATAAAATGTAACAACAAATACATGCAGAGTTATAAATTTACTGAATTGGTATTTAAGTAAAATAATTCATGACAACAAGATGGAAATTCTTGTTCTGGACACCCTCTCTACTTTTAAGATTAGGCTTAAAACTTTCCTTTTTGATAAAGCATATAGTTAGGGATGGATCGGGTGACTGAATCCTTCCTTAGTTACTCTGCAATAGGTGTAGGCTGCTCTGATCAGTGTTTCTTCTTCACTTACCTGTTTTTCACTTTCTATGTGTTTATACACCCCTATGCAATCACTCGTTAGTTATTATATTTTCTGGTTTATAAAAAACATAAGGCACCACTAAAAAAGCATTTTGACCTTTAATCAAGGTTAAATTATGGCCTGCACTAACAGGAAAATGTATGGATTACTGTTAGGGTAAGGTAACTTGGCCAATCAGCGATACGTGTGTACGCACCATTGAAAGCAGATTTTGAGCCAGAAAAGATGTTCTTGAAACTTGTGCCTGGCCACAGAAGATGTCCTCAGTAACCCATTCACAACTTTGTCCTTACAGGCTGCACTGCTGCTGGCAGCTGAAGCACCTGTTGCGTGGATATGAGCGCATAGTGAAGCAGGTAAATGTGCCGCATGTTGGTATTTAGTGATATGTTGTCTCAGTCTATGAGAGCACGCTGTTTTGTGCTGCGTGCTTTGTATTTGGCTCCTTTGTGTCGCTCCTGCTCCCTCTGTCACCCATCAGGCTCGCCTCACTCACAGGCAGAGAAAAAATATTTTTCACTGTTTAATTAACATCGCCTGGAAAATGTCCCTATTTGTTATGTGGCCCCTCAGGGTTATTTGGATGAGATTGATATTTCACCCCGGGCTGCAAAGTTCATTATTTTCACAGCCTTTAAGCTATCATTAATTATTAAAGCTGGTGGCAGCCCCCATTAATCACAAACACTGTTTGATTTGAATGGCTGGCTAGAGGAAAAAAATAGACACTGTCACTTCATTATCCCTCCATTCAAGGATGTCTTTTCTCTCGTGTTTGACTCCTCACAGAGGCTGCAGCAGTCGGCTGATCTTGTCGGTTTCATTCTGGAGCTGAAGACTGTCTTGGTAAGGAGGAGAATGACATGGCGGCTCGCACGGTCACTTTGACATTGTAGCTTCATGAATAGCAACTAAATGGGAACCTCCAGGCATTATCAATAGCCTTGCTTGAGAGGCATATGCACGTGCATGTGTATTTTGTGCCATAAAAATAAAGAAAACTGTCATCACGGCCCTGATTCAGCTTGCTCTGTAGAAAGATTGCTCCTGAGAGTAAGTTGTGATATGATGTGCATAGTAATCTGGGCTTAAAATAAGAAGAGCTCTGTGTGTGTTGTTGCAGGAAGTGGTGCTGAAGAGCCGCCCCGAGTGCCGCTCCATCCCGCCTCCGCAGTATTACTCTCAGCTCATCTCTGAGATGGAGACCCTCGGGTGGGACAAGTAAGTGGGCCAGTAAGAGTACCAACACATGCTCCGGAACCAGGGCTTTATTGGCGCGTCAGTCATTAAGCTGTGAAATGTGTGTCAGCATGTTTGCCAGCTCTGAACGGCACTTTTACTGGTGGTTTTGTCTGAGTCGCAGCTTAGGTTTGTGTCTGCTGAGTATAGGACACCACAACAACATACAACAGCATTCATCTCAAGGCACTTTATAATGTAAGGTAAAGACCCTTCATTATTGGACAGAAAACCCCAAGAGTCAGACAATCCCCTGTGAGCAGCACTTGGAGACGGAAGTATTTCCTTTCAATAGGCAGAAATCTCTGACAGAGGCAGGCTCTGAAATTATCTGCTTAGGCAACAACACTGATCGTGTTATTACAAAGCAGTCCTCTGGAAATATCCTACAGGCCTGCTTATGGTGCATGCTGCTGTTTGTAGGGGGAAAATACTTTACTTGCCAAGAATGTTGTGACAAACGGATAACCGAGTCACCTTTTTTTAGTGGAATGAAAGATTATCTATACTTACCTGGCCCTACGTGGAAAAAAATAAAACCTAATAACTGATTGCTGTTCTTGGCAACAAAAGTGGCACAATCAGACATTTTTGCTCTTTTCTGACTTAGTCTGAGATGGACCTTCTGTTTGTTTTGTCCTCCTGGATCAGTGCTTTTGAATTTCAGAGCTCAAACTGATGGCTGGACATTCTCCTTCAAGATTTTCTGGTACTGACTAGAATTCATGGTTCCCTCAGTTATGGCAACTCATCCAAGTCCTGAAGCAGCAAAATAGCGCCAGACCATCATACCACCACCACCATGTTTGACTGTTGATATGATGTTCTGTTTTTTACACTAGATATAACATAGCCTTCCAGAAAGTTCAGATTTTGTCTGGTCAGTCCACAGGACATTTCCCCCAAAGTCTTGGGGATCATCAAAATATTGTTTGGCAAATGAGAAACTTTGTGTTCTTTTTAGTCAGCAGTGGTTTTTGCCTTGCTACTCTCCCAAGGATGCCATTTCTGACCTTTCTCTTTCTTATTGTTAAATTATGAACACTGAACTTAACATAGGCAGTGAGGCCTGAAGTTCTTTAGATGTTGTTCTGGGTTCTTTTGTGTTCTTTTGTCTCCTGGATGAGTTGTCAATGCTCTCTTGGAGTAATTTTGGTAGACTGGCCATTGCTGTGAAGGTTCACCGGTGTTCCATGGTTTGGTGGAGGCCCAAATCCTTTAACCTCCTAAGACCCAAACTCTGCCACAGCATGTATTTTTAATTTCTCTTTGATATTTGGGCTGAATTAGCAGTTTTTTTTCTTTTTTACCTAATTTTAGTTTCTAAGAAAAAAGAGAGCCATATATGAGGATATTCATTTAAAATTTTGATAGAACAGTAGCAGTATAATGTCCTCGTAAGTGGATATCAGGCCCTTGTAGAGCAAAATTGAGTATTTTGGTCTAAATAACCCAAAATGTGATGTCCACATATGTGGACGCCAGGTCCTAGGAGGTTAAATTGGCTTTGTAACCCTTTCCAGACCAACGGAGGTCAGTGACTTTGTTTCCCCGTTTCTTTAGATCCTGGCATGTGTTTCTTTGTGAGATGTTTTAGCCTGCTTCACTTTATCAGACAGTTTCTATTTAAGCGATTTCTTGATTCAACAGGTCTGGCAGTAATCAGGCCTGGGTGTAGCAAGTGGAAGTGAACTCAGCTTTCCAAAAAGTGTGGTTAATCACTGTTAATTCATCATTTAACAATGGTGGGGAAATTACTTTTTCCACACAGGGCCAGTTAGGTTTGGATAGCTGTTTTTCTTTTCCTGTAATAATCACGTAAAACTGCATTTTGTATTTTTCTTACTTTATCTTTGACTAATATAATTTGTTTGATCTGAAAGATTTAAGTGAAAGAAATGTGCAAAACAACTAAGGAACTAGGAAGATGCAAAATACTTTTTCATTGCACTGCAACTGTTTTCTTACCAAAACATCAGGCCTTTACATGCCACTGTTACCGCTCACCTGTGTATATTCTAATAGTTAGTATGCGTTTCTTCATACTTGCTGAAACAATTATCATTCTTTCTCATGTCTTAAAATTTAGAAGAAACTGACATTTAGTTAGTTGTTACGTCATCATCAGACTAAGTCTAACCAGAACCAGCCAGTTACTATAGTTACACGTTCTTACAAGTTTAAAAAGGCGTACTTTATTAAAGCAATCAAAATGAGTGTAATCCAAATAAGCACTTGCTGTGAAATGCATCCAGCCTTATGGTCAGGCTCAGCTTCTCTCTCTGATCGCCCGCTCTCTGTCTCGCACAGCACAAAGAGGTTTGTGGTTTATGAATTTTATGGTTTATTTATTGGCTATTTTTACTGCACACTGTCCTCCCATGACTTATAGGTTTATTAATTACTTAACAGTTGTTTTCACAAGCAGTCTTAGTCGTAGAAGCACTGCAGTCACACCGCCTCATTTAATGGAACCATTCCTGGACCCACATCTAAAAGTGGTTCAGGACACTGTATGCTTAAGTGTGCCCTGTGAGTTTATGCAGTGGTCCCGCTAGTCTGAGGAGAACTGGATTTTGTAGGTCAGGCTTGCTCAGGCACAGTCATGTTCATACGCTGGGAGTAAACCCTCTGTCACTTTTAACATTTGCAATCAGGATGACCTCCATGAGATTGATCAGATAATGTTATGGGAGTCTGTAGGTGCATGTGGTGATCCTAAAGCTGTGGGTGTGATCATCAAGTTAAAATAGTGCAGATTCAATCCCCACGCAATGTTGAAATTAGCTTTGAGAATATCAAGCCATAATCAAACAAGTTATTTTCTCTTAATGAACAATGTAGTAACATGGTTCCATTCCCCACTTACATGGTCCCAGGATACTGTGGTAGTAATTTGCCTGTGGAATTGCTTGCTGATGGAGCTCCACGTATCAACTCGGTGGCTCTCCTGTTCCTCTGTCAAAGCTTTGATATATGTATTTTTAGTTTTCTGCGTTTTCCCCAGGGGCAGGATTAACTTATTGTGGTGCATATATGAGCAGAAACCCCCACTGCTTTAAAAGGCTGTATAGAGCACCCCCCCTTTCTTCAGCAGCGTAAACTGATTGGAGAGCCTACAACAACACAGTTCTACATTAACAAATGGCTCTTAATGACTTCCTTATTTTTAGTTATTGAGTTATAGTTAAATCCAGGTCACATTTAATAACACTCAGCCCACGTGCGCTGACGGGTCTGGCTAATACCGTTTTCTCCGCTCATCAGGAGAGAACGAGGAGGAGGAGGTGGCGGCGGCGGTTAGGAGAAAGATATCTATTCTCCCCCAGCTCGGATTAAGCCTTGACTACTACACTCATTTTCTACTTTCCTATTAATGACCGGAGCTACAATTATGATATTAGCGAAATGCAAATGGCTCTAATTGAAGACTCTCAGGTTTTAATAGGAGTGTGGGGGGGTGAAGGTATGCTTTATGCTGAAATGGGACCAACATCATTTTCAGTGTCGTGTTACGGTTAGGAGGCATTATACACAGTGGGCCTCAATCTCCAAAGCACTCGAGATTCGCTTAGCGTCTTAATTGGTACGGGCCGTGCTAATAGCCACCAGGGGTTTTCAGCTGTAATTCTGTCTGCTGATTGGGCCAGGTAAGTGAGCAGCTCTGTCTCTCTCCATGTGTCTCCATTTGTGCATTTTGAGAGTGTGGTCATCTTAATTGGCTGGAGATGGCAAACCATGTGTTAATTAATGGAAAATGAGGTCAAGTAGGTCAGCTGCCATCACTCGGAGGCCTCCAAACGTGGCCCTAGAAGCTGCAGGGCTCATTATGGGCACAGCTGGCACTCGATGTTCACAGCCTCTTGGTGGATGTGCAGAGCGCCGTCTCTTCTTATCTCAGTATTATCATGCGGTCACACTGCGTTGCTGCTCTTCTGAGGCCAGATACATCGGCAAGCTTCTGATGGGCTGGAGCTGGGGGGGGGCGCACGGTTTCATCTGTTTTTGTTACATTATCAGGCCAGCTAATAAAGTGCATGTAAAATCCTGTTCTGTAAAATTACACAATGTTGTTATCTGGGGTTGCTGTAAGTAATGAGAATGTCCTGAATAGCACAGTTAAAGTGTAAAGCAGGTAGAGGCTTCTATCTTATTAAAGTTGGTGTATTTATTATTAGTATTATTATTATTATTAGTATTTATTTATTTTTGTACGGCTTACATCGTTCTCTATCCATTCTTCATTCTTGTGCATGCCATCGTTTTGCATGTGTGTTTCTGATGCAGCGCACACAAGCATTACATATGTGTTGATCTCACCATTCATGAATCACTTTGTCAACACGCACTCCCATATTAAAAAAAAAATCAGACACATGCGCACACACTGATGTGCGTGGTGTGCGCTGTCTGGAAGTGTGGAGTTGCAAATGGGATGCTCTCATCAGTCTTCCCAGCAGGACATCTGACTGTCACGCTGTTTCTATCATGGCCAAGTAGGGGCGGCAGCTAGTCCCTGCTATACGGGGTGTGAAACCCCAGAGGAGAGGAGCTGGAAATGTGTTTTAGCAATGCACCAATGATTTTTTTTCTCCCTCCTGATATTCTTTGTCAAGAAACCAAAATTACAAGTTCTTTTTCTTATACAGTATACTGGTCAGATTTGTTCTGTCTAGATCAGGGGTGTCAAACTCAAATACACAGTGGGCCAAAATTCAAAACTGGAACAAAGTCGCGGGCTAACGTTAATATTTACTGAAATATATTTATTCCTCTAGATATAAGAATGAATCTTTTCTTATGGACTCAAACACGTTTTGCTGGAAAACTGAATATGGAACAAGCAAAGCTTAATACTAAACAATATATATATTAGCTGTATAATACCAGTAGGCCAGCTCTAATAGTAATTTGGTGTGGCTTTGCGGGCCAAATGTAATTAGGCCAAATTTGGCCTGCGGGCCAGAGTTTAACACCTATGGTCTAGATTATCTCTGTACATTCTGCCAGATTTATACAGCAAAAGTCAACTTTAGCAATAATCTTTGATGTTTTTTGAATTTCTGTTTTACAGCTTAAATATCCAATGGCAAATTTGCTGCTGTGCCAGCCTTACTTCTTTCTCATAACTCTTTGCGTGCACCACATCAGAGAAAACATACTTCAGTGGTTTCTCATGAATACTATGTACTTGCATTGCACACTGCTAGAACTTGTGAAGTAGATTTTGAAGTAGAGTGGTTTGCCAACATTCTTGAATAAGCATTAAATTAAAAAACAAACACAAACAGATATTTAGTAGTTAAGTATTTCTTGCTTTAATTTTTTTTTTCTCTGTCTTTAAAAATTGTATAGTGTGATATTCCAAAGTTCTTTGGATGTTAGCTGCGTTCAACACAAATGTTGAGGTTCTACCTTTGGGGAGGCCAGACTGATGTTTTTCTATCCAGGTGTGCTTTTGCTGTGTGCTTTGGATTGTGGTCTGCTGCCAAACATGCGCTCTGTAGATTGTATTGCATTGTGGATCAAAATCTGACAGTACTTTTCTGGGTTATTCCATCGGATAATTCCATCAGTTTTGACAACATTCCCAGACCACTGGCTGAAATGTAGTTCCACACCATGACACAGCCTGTTTTAGAGGCTGCAGACACTCACAGTTGTACCTCTTCTGACCTCCTCCCCACAACCTGATAGTGATTTGAACCAGAAATGTCAAATTTGGATTCATAACTCCATACGACCTGTCACCACTCGTTTTCAGTTTAGTTCTTTTGTAATTCGGTACCAGATGTGTCTGTCAGGTCCTGTATCAGGTCGCTGCTGGTAGGTTTATTTTTTGCTTCTTAAGGATATGACTTTCAGATGCTGTTCATCTATTGTTTTAGGACTGCTGCGTAATTAATTTTTATTTTATTTTATCCCTGGATGTACCATTTTTCTTGTACTTGAATGATTCCTAGTTCAGTGGTCAGGTACTTGGCTAAAAATGGGTGAAAAAGCAGCCAAAGACTGGAGGACTCAAGGTGACTTAAAAAAAACATGGCTGGCATTTTGTGAGATATTAAAAAAAAAGAAGGCTGACCAAGACTTTTGCACAGTACTGTAGATGTAGATAGTTGTACAGGTAAAATAGTAAAATGTAAAAGATTCATTTTAATTCAAGGTGCCTATAATGGTTGTTAAGTTGAGTTCCATCAAGCCTACGAGACTGAGAGCTGTAGAAAGGGATCGATCGTGGGTTACTCTGATATCAAAAGTAAAAACATTGAGAGGTTTTCCTTTTTCACAGACGGTCATTCTTTTGTTCATGCCTTCTGTAACTCACTGGCACTTGATTTTAATGATTCCACTTGTTATCCATTGAATTGTTCTTTCGGACACTGGTCACTTTCATCACCTGAATAGGTTTGGTAACTTGTCATTATTGTGTCTTTATTGCTGTGAGCAGCAATCGGTATTTTATGACTGTCCTTTTGGTAAAAGTGCAGGATATGAAATAGTCAGAGTAGTGCCTTTCAATTCAATACTTTGGCTAGATTGTTTCAGCAGGTAGCACCGATTTTTGGTTCACACAAAACCAAAATTGTGGCTTTGTCAGACTAGCTCGATGGTGACATTGGGTGCCTGTATGCATAGATGTTAGTGAGCATATTGCAGTAAAGCATGGACGCCCTACTCCGGCGTTTGATTGAAAGTGAGTGAGCAAGCAGACGCTTTTATGAGTCGGGCCCATCGGACACCGTCTCCCATCATTCCATCACTTCCCTAAGTGTGTGTGTGTGTGCGCGTGTCATTCCCTGAGCACAATGTTCACATCAGTCCTCTCTAACACACTCCATAAATCCTCAGCTGATATACAGCCATGTCAGCCTCGGCATAGAGCGCCCGTCGTAATGTACTGTAAATCTGGAGGAGGACTGTTCAAATCCTTTGTCTCGGATCAGTCTTTTATCCTTGGGTCTCAGTAGACTGGAGTTGGTCTGGCGAGGGGGAGGAACTGACTCCTTTACAGTGTGCTGGAGCAGCAGAAGGAGCAGTAAATCTGACAGCAGTGTTGGCGAATGCTCCAGCCACATCAGTGTTGTGTCCTTAACCTCAATAGGTTATAATTAGCTCAGGAAGGAGAAGGTCTGATTTACAAGTTGATTCAGGCTGAAAAACATCTCAGCCTAAGGTCATCCAGAGACGCATCGTTTTCTGAGAGCTTCCTCCCACTGCTGTAACTGCTAAAGCCACGCTAATGTTAGCGTCATGTTATTCCTCTGGACAAACTGGTGTTGGTTGAGGTTTGTTTCTGTCAGCTAATGAATTTTTATTAACATTATTCATATAATAACTAAAACATTAATTAACAAATGTTGTCTCTGTCTTAATTACCTGCATATTTTTATTAAATACTAAAGTATATACAAACATTATTAACTTTATTTATGGGATAATTACTATAAATTATTTGTTCAATAAAAATAATGTGTTCGTGCATAAGACTGAGAATGTGCAACGTAATTGTTATGTAATGTATTTTTTGTCTTGTATGTTTCTTTTTAGCTCACTAACCTAATGCTAATATAAAACTACCTTCTTTGCTAACGCTGGTTGATAGGTGGGTCTGGGACTAGCAGGACTCAGCTAAATTTCATTCTTTTCTTTTTTTTACTTTATTTTTGGGAACTTTTACAAAGAGAAAATAAAATGACAAAATAATGGAAATGGCCATCAGTTGCATTTTAAGATTCATCCCATGTCAGAAACCATGAATGGATGGATCATATACCTGTGCAAAAGGGGTCACAGTTCATTTTTGCCCACCATCTATTTTGTCTTCCTTGTTTTGTTTTTTTTTTAATACCCAGAAGTTCCTCATAAATCATATCCATAGATGAAATTCTCCAAGAAGCAGGGAGACCCAATATTCTTATCCAGCAGATGCAGTTACCAGGTTCTGTGCTGAAACAAACTGTGTTTCGTTTCTTTTTACTGGCAAAAACCCACCAGACAGACAGGTTTTGCCAAGCTAGTGGCACTTAAAAAATTATTTTCATTCTGTATTTAGTGGTTAATACAAATATATGTGAACATCATTATGGTAAGATGACTAGTCAACTGTTTATTAACAGGGTGAATTGGCAAAATAACTTACAGGATGGCACACTAAGGTATGGGCCAGGACTTTATGTGTGATGTCAGGTTACTGTGGCCACAGTTTGCTGCAGAGGACCACAGATTAGCAGAAAATGATCCATAGTTGTAGGCCATGACTCCAGAGTTGCAGTCTGATGTAATGTCACTGTGTTGGTACCCAGAGTGATAAATCTCAAGGTAGAGTTTATGTCTCAATATTGCTCTCTGCAGCTGTGATTAATGACGGATGATGGCTGCTGTCAGGTTACAGTGTTGCGTGTGCCCTTCTCTATGAATAGAGGTTGATTTATGGCGTGTGCTTTGTGTGTGTCCATCTTCAGGCTGCTCTTCATTGACACCGAGTTCCGAATGTTGAGACTGAAAGCGGAGGACTCCGCTGGAAGGCAGCACATCCTCACTGTTAAACTCAAGTCTAAGGTAAGGCGCACTCTCATTGTGCACACTGAGAAACACACAGTTTACCGTAAGGACTGGATCATTTTCCACACTAAAAAAATTATTCATCATCAAATGGAATACTCTACAACTTGATGTTGACCTACAGCCAATCCAAATCCAAACAGGCCAACTTCACCAAATGCATGTGGGGTTGTTCACTTTGCTGATGGCAAATCAGTGATTTACATCTGTGCCCCTAAATCTGGGTCAAACTGGAGAGGGTGTGGAGAGACACGATAACCCGCTGTGACTGAGACGTAGCACAGATAAAATATCTCCACATAACCCCAGCGTGATGGAAAACCTTCTTCTATGCATAGAGAAAATCAGTACACCCACACTCATCTGCATAGCTGCTGTCTCTGCTCTGCTATTGAAAGAGATACACAAAACCTCTGCCCAGTGTAGGTTAACCTAAACGCAGGCTGTGGAAGGCTGTGGCTGTGGAATTTCCATATAAAATGACACTTAATGACATTTCGTCACAGGTACATGTGATGATTCTGGTTGATTGTAAGCTTTACAGTAGTAAGGCTGCATTCTTGATTTTTGATCATGGAAATGTTCTTTTCGTTTCGCTTGTAGCTCCCTGTGATTGACTCTGAGTTTGCTGTGACTGCTCGAGCAGAAAAGCCTCACTATCTGAAAGCATGATTTGTGATATCTTAGTCCCAGACTAATGAACTACTTGCAGAAATGAGACGTGCAGTTCTCCTCTGCTCGTCCAGTAAGATTGATCTTTCTGGTAAAGTTGGTGAGATCTGGTTTTAAAACGCTAAACTTTTAAAAAAACAAGTTGAACTTTGAAAAATAATGAGACAATTTATTTTTGAAATCAGGATAAAGGATAAATTTAAATGTCATCATGCATCGCCAAAGTGGAAATTTAAACGAGCGCTGCATAGGTTGCATCTGTAAATTAATTAAAGTCAGCACAGTGCTGCTCACTAGTGTAGGGTTGGGCAATATGTAAAAATTTTCCAACCAGAAATCGCCAGTCCAACAATCACAGATGGGCGATATATTCGTGGATGCGCAGACTTTTTGATGGGCAGAGCAATGTTATCATGCACAGACTGATTTGCGTGTTTACAACACAGAAGTCCAAACACGGACGATTTCCTCCCCCCCACAAAAAAAGAAGAAGCTGTCAGCGTTAACGCGGCTTAACCGTGGTCATCACAATTAACGTGGTTAAAATTTTTAACGCGCTCAAACCATCTGAAGCGCAGAATGAACAAACTTTGGACAAACTGCCCGAAAAACGTTGACAGAGACGTTTCAAGGATTTTGACTCAGTCTGCACTCCAGATGGGTTAATTGTAAATCGCGTTAACAATTAATCCCTGTCAGTATGTCATCAGTTCAGTGATGACGGCACGTTAATGCTGACAGCACTAAAGAATATAAAGTCACCAATTTGGGATTTCTTTGGCTTTAAACCAGATGAAAGAGGTAAACCTAAGGATGCAACCAAAGCGGTGTGCCACTTGTGCACACGCAGATTTTGTTTTTGCTTTACATTACAATTTATAATTCAACAAAAAATATTTCATCCTTTAAAAATAGGTTACATAATGGATACTTGAAGTGAGCTCTGCAGCTTATCTTCCACACATAGAATAAGGGTTGTTTTTGTTCTTTTAATTGTTTAATTTTGAGATTTTGACAGCAGAATTACTTAAAACTTTTCAAGTGAATGTTTTACTTTTTGTAAGTCAGAGTGGGGAAGCATATTCTGGGCATGGTGGGTGGATATCATGGTGAGCTGGTGCTTAGCTAAGCCCAGATGACATCCACCAGGGACAAAGGAGGGTGGTGGTACCCCACTCTGTGCCCACCTGCCTACCTGGCCCTCCTCAACTTTTTGGCACTGTAAAAAAACAGCTCCAAGTCCTCCCTGTGTTCCAGCTGCCTCCGCCAAATCCAGCGCCAGGTCATCCCTCACCAGGCACAGCCAGGGAGGAGGCAGCACTGGCACGGACGCATGGAGGCTTGGAAGGCAGGGGAGTGAGAGAGGATGAGGACAGAGTAGTATGATGCTGAAGGTGAACAGGGGGAAAAAAAAGAGCTGCTCATATATATTGACCAAAATGTATTTTTCAGCTCTTTAAAAAGTTGAGCCAATAAAGTCTTAATAACAAGACTGTTTTAAATAAATACAGGGTGGCTGTTAATGTTAATTATAAGAGGCTATTGACCTATTATAGCAGACTTTTCTAGCATGTTGAGAAATCCCAGTTTAAGCCTAATTGCTAAACTATGATGCCCAACTTCCTGATGCACATTTTTTAATCAGAATTCGGAGATCACTTTGCTTTTTTGTTTTAATGAAGTCTTAATATATGCCGCAGTATTACCCCATCTTCTTAACACACAGCATCCTGCAGAGACTCCCGAATGCTCAGCTGACCTGCCAGTGCCACTAGCTATAAACTGGACAGCACAGGTAAGTGAATATACACAGCTGCGCACAGTGTCTGTCTAAAGAGGTTTTACTTCTGTTCAGTGAATGTCAAATGCTTCTAGGTTGCTATATGTCACACTTTCGACCTTTGTTTCAGAAACATATCATCTAAAAGATTTAACTCACAACAAATATCTGACACATCAAAAAAAAAAAAAAATCCCAATATTTTAAATGTATGAAGTCAGTGAAAGCTCACTTAAAAAGCAATACCACAAGAATCCATACTGACATCAGATTAAACCTTAAAATGCTAGTTTGAGGGTCAAATATTAAAGTTTGTTTTAAAATAAAAACCCATCTTAAATGAATTCTCAATACATTTCACACATTCTAACATTCTCGTGATTTCAGGCAAGATGAACTAGGATTAAATCTCTGCTAAGGATACACCATAATGCATTAAAAATGTTTGGTTAAACTTCAGGGTGTAATGTTTTTTTTTTTTTGTTTGTTTTTTTAATTTCATGCTTTTTATTTAATTTTAGTATAATTTATCCACCCATTCTTACTTTGTGGCAAAAGATCTTGAAGTTTGCAGATTCTAAAATTACTGAAGATTTACATTCACAGTAAAAGATGGTGAAATCCCAGACTACTGCGCACCCACTACTGGATTAGAATAAACGTGCGGATGGCACATCCCCAATTTTTTTCATGTAAAAAATTATTCTAATAAAACCCAGGAACTGTGTAACATCTGTAAATGTGCACAGATAAATTAAGCCAGTCAAACTCAATGTGCAAACACTAAGTAATATGCCCTATTTATTACACCAATGTATAACTAACTGTTAAAAATGAATATAAAAAAACCAACCAAGTGAACTTTCTTTGGATTTTGCTGCCCCCTCATTGTTATGCTTTCTAAAACTCAAGTGCAGTATTATTCGTGCATGCATCCATATAACAGTCACATTTAGTTTTACGATAGTAAGGTTTCGCTGACAGTGGACTGAGCATGCACTTGTAGAAGTAGTGCTGGAACCGTGAACCAGGCTTTAAAGTCTGTAATAAACATCCAGTTACAGTATTTTAAAAACAGTTTTTCACAGGACGCAGTCCTGAGGAAAAACTAAGCACACCTTTACTGCTTTCATAGAAATTAAGAGGGTGAGTAGCAGCCAGGTGTTTCTAATCAATGCTCAATTAATTGATCATCAGCAAGTATTGGCCACCTTTATAGAAACAGAACTTTTGATACATTCGTGATCTTCCCAGGATTTACCTGAAAGTCACATCACGCAGTGGTCAGAGAAATTGTAAAAACAAAACTCGAGATAGACCTCAGACTCTGAGGCCTCATTTAACGTGTTAAAATTAATGACAGTACTGTTAGGAAAAGTCAGAACAAGATTGGCTTGTTGGGAGGGTTGCCAAGAGAACTCTTTTCTAATTCTTTGTAAAATAAATTCTTTGTAAAAAAAAAAAAACAACCCAAAAAACCCAAAACAAATAAACAAAAACCCTAAGCAACATTGCTTAGGGTTGCAAATTTGCATCTGAACAAAGTAGAGACCTCTGAAACAGTGGTCTCTGGACACTGGAAGACATTAAAGAGGAGATGTTTGTTCATAATGCACATATGAGCACAGTTTGTGCTCATATGCTGTTATGTTTTGGTGGTGGTTGAGTAGTTGATGATTTGGGTTCATTTTGCAGCCACTACACCTGAGCACCTTCTCATTTTTGAGTAAATTATGAACTCTATATCTCTAAGGATTTTAGATTCAAATGTGTGACTGACAGCTAAAGTTTGGCTAAGATTCAGTCATGCCACAGGGAAATGATCCCAAACACAGCAGTACATCTACAACAGAATGGCTGAAGAAGAAAAGTATCAAGCTGTTGCAATGATTTTGCAATGGTCAGACTTACACTCAACTTATCTTAAAGAGTCATGCATTCATATCCACAAACCTCCATGAACTGAAGAAATGCGGTAAGCATAAGTAGGACAAAATTCTTTTACAGCAATGTGAGAGGTTGATAAAGTCATACAGAAAATGTTAATGCTGCTTTACCCTGTCGAGGATACTTGGGTGCATGGGAGTTTGTCCAAGCAGTCTACATGTGTTTGGTGTACAACCATTGCAAGAGCTTGGGCCACATAGCCACAATAAGTTGGACTCGTTCCCGGTGGGTGTTAGACTCCACCAGGGCTCCCCTTTGTCACCGATTCTGTTGATAATTTTTATGGAAGCGAAGCTCTTGATTTACCGGTTGATGTATGTGGAAATGAGCTTTCTCCAAAGGGTGGCAGACCTCTCCCTTAGAGATGGGGTGAGGAAGTTGGGCCATCCGAGAGGGGCTCAGGATAGACATCGAAAGGAGCCAGTTGAGGTGGTTCCGGCATGTAACAAGGATGCCCCCTGGGCGCGGTATTCTGGGCATTTCACACTGGGAGAAGGGCCCTGGAGCAAACCCAGGACACGTGTGAGAGATTATATCTCTCGGCTGGCCTGGGAATGCCTTGGTGCCCCCCTGGATAAACTGGAGGAGGTGGCCGTTGAGAAGGAGGTTTGGGCTTCTGTTCTTAGGCTGCTGTCCCCACGACCCGCCCCAGAAAAAATCGATGGATTGATGAATCGATATTGGTATTAAATTGGTTCTATAAGCTATTGAATTATGTGGTCTACTTAGTTTTTTACAAGGATTCATAGAGTCCTGTGAATAACTTATGTGACTGTGTAATGTCACAAGAATCGGGCTTTTACATGGCGTGTGTGTGTGTCAGTGTTTTTGTAATTGATATTTTAGAAATTCTTTATTGTTGTCAGAGTTTTGTACTGTAATGTATTGAGGCTCTCGGAGACTCAAACTCTGATTAAGGACTACACTGATCCACTTGACTCATCTTCGGCTGCATATTGCATAATTTGACAAAACACATCTCCACCTGCTCTATTAAGACATTTTCTTTCAGCCCCTCAAATTTAGTCCACTATAATTGGCATAAAAGTGCTTTGATGTAAAACCAGCTGTGGACTCTTTGTATTTCTTTGGCTCCTCATTATTGTTGTTTGCCGTCTTTCTTCTTTCACTCTGGTGCTGCTTTTTATCTCCGTCACTGCCTCGGAGTCGGATGTTGCTCATTCTCTCCCTCTCTCTCTCTCGCACGCACACACACACACACACACACACACACGCACGCACGTTTTGATTTATTTATTTATTTTTACGCAAACAGTCACTTAATCCATCGTTAAAAAAAATACGGTGGCACTCTGTATCTCGACATTGCACGTCCTTTGTGCCAATTTGATGTGCACTTTTGTAAAGACCAGTTTGACTTTTAGACCTCAGGAGTGAGGATGTTTGGAGAGTGACAAAAAAGGAGCTGTGAAATGCGTTATGTCAATCAGAGAGAGGAAACACCAGCGACAGAGAATGTGAGGAGAGAGATGCTAATGCATGGGCGTGTGTGTGTGTGTGTCTGTGTTGGCGAGCTGATACATGGCAGGCGTACAGTGAGGACCAGCTTAGAACAGCGCTACCGTATGGAGCCTGTCTGCCTGCTGGGCCGTTGATGGATCTCTCCCACACTGCAACATGAAGTGTGTGTATATGCTTGTGTATGTGCGCTTGCATCTGTGGCAAGTGTGTTTTTGTCTGATGTGTGAAGGGTGTGTGTGGTGGGGGGAAGGGCTTGTCTGTCGGCAGTCCTGACATGTTCATTTGAATGAGTAATTATTGCCTGCTCTGTTGCAGGGCCAAGACGTGCCACTCTGTGCATTTGTGTGGAACCTTGGTGTGTATGCAGTTTTTGTGTGCTTGAAGGCTATACAATGGTTTGTGTGTGTGTGTGTTTTTTCTTTTGTTTTTTTTTTCTTTTTCTAACGACCAAAAAGTACAAGCATGAGAGATGATGGAAGTTCTGTGTGTGACTGGCTAAGCAGTGGACCCAAAAAGCCCCTCCTGAATACACATCCTTGCATGAAAATACAAACTTGCTGTTAAATGTTGGTGATTGCCTTTTGTATAATAAATTGAAAAGTTGCAGTCCTAGTTGGTTCAGACCATGTACTCTATAGGCACCTTGGCATTACCCATTAGTTCTGAACTAATTTTCATATATCTCTATATCTCTAATACTTACAATGACTAAAATTTAGTAAACTGACTCATTGTTTATTCACTATGACCTGGAAGAAGTGACCCAATGAATAAACTCATCACTAAAGTGTTTACAGAGGTCAAGTTCAACCTCGTCGCTTCTATGGGACAGAAGTCTTTTTGAAACCACAGGTATGTAGGTTTATTACTTGCATACCTAACCTACATCCTTTTTTAAATATATGTATATTGTCTGTGTGTTTTGGCTGCTGCCATGTTGGCTCTTTGGAGCCAGAAGTAACTGTATTTGGTCAGATTTGTGGATTGCTAAGTTATTACGTAATGACAGCAGGTATGTACGGTTATGTTCAGTGACTCAAATTACCAATGGGAGAGCTGTCTGCTTATATCTGTAAAAGCAGTACTACCTTACCTATACAAAGCACAGCCTTGGGAAAAGGAGGTAAAATAGTTGACAAAGTTATTGGGGTGATGTGGATACTGTACTGGATACGTCTATATTCTTATACTCACCTTTGGTCACAAGCTTAGTGATAGGGTGAGGACTTCATTGTAGATCATAGGTGTCAAACTGTGGCCCATTACATTTGGTCCGCGAAGCCATACCAAATTACTATTAGAGCTGGCCTACTGGTATTATATATGTATGTATGTATGTATGTATGTATATATATGTGTGTGTGTGTGTGTGTGTGTGTGTGTATGTACCGTACGTACGTACGAGATTAACCTGAAAGCACTAGTGGGAACACAACGAATATGACTGCACATTTACGCCGACATCATCCTAGTGCAAAGACAAGTGGAAGCAGAAAAAAAACAACAAGCATGCTACTAACTTTACCCGAGTCATTTAGACAGCTGTTAGCACATGATTCTCCTTATGTGTTTAATATGCTGCTGAGAATATAGCCCAGAAGAAGCGGATAGTATAGCTTTTATTTTGGAAAGAGACATTTCTCTGTAATAAACTCTCTTTTCCAAAGATGAGTGATTCCTCAATCAGATACAGGGCTTGCAATATCGCTAGCCCGACGTCCCGGGGCTAGCGATTTTTTTCAGTCGGGCTACCAAAATCTGTCTCTGCCCTGCCCGTCGGGCTATTGTAAGAAGGAAAAATATATGTCAATGCTTTTGCATTCTTTCAGAAATGTAGCTGGGTAATATGTCATTGGCATCGGTGAGCCACTGTCAATATGTGACATATTGAAATCGCGTTTGAATTTGCGCTTGTTTTTTTGCTTTCACTTTGCAATGACAGCACTGATCTGTGAGTGATGATAATTTGCGCACCAATTCCTCTGACATCGTCTTATTAATCGTTAGCTTACTATGCAAACATGACAAGTGAAATCTCCTGCAGCTTAAACATGTGAGAGGTTGATCGCGCAGAGAATCGCTGAGCTTATGTGAGTCCGTGTGTAAAAGCAGCAGGATATATATTTTAGTTCTGCTGAGCCAAATAAGACAGGTCAGGGTGAAGAAGTGACAGCCAAAGAAAAGCTTACCACAAAACGGAGAAGTTATGACAAATCAGACTATAAGGCAAAAAGAAAGTGCAGCTTTATGGTTTCATGGACAAAATTATTTCTGTGGCTGCAATATGACGAGCTAAATAACCAGGGCTGCACATAAGTGGTCCGCAGGTGCGCATTCGCTGTCAAAATAAAAAACACGCACAAGGGTTAGGGTTAAATTTAAAAACTGTACTTTTGAGTTAAAATATATATTTATAATTTTTAATAAATGACAAATTAAAAAGGCATGAACATTTTTTTGTATCGAAAAAATATCGAACCGTGACACCAAAGTATCGAACCGAACCGAACCGTGATATATATATGTATGTATGTATGTATGTATGTATGTATGTATGTATGTATGTGTATATATATATGTATGTATGTATGTATGTATGTATGTATGTGTATGTATGTATGTATGTATGTGTATATATATATGTATGTATATGTATGTATGTATGTGTGTATGTATATGTATGTATGTGTGTATATGTATGTATGTATGTGTGTATGTGTATATATGTATATATATATGTGTATGTATGTGTGTATATATGTATGTATGTGTGTATATATGTATGTATGTGTGTATATATATATATATATATAGATATAGATATAGATATATATATATATATCTATATATATATATATAGATATATATATATATATATATATAGATATCTATCTATCTATCTATCGATCTATTAGGGGTGCAACGATACTCGTATCGATATTGAACCGTTCGATACAGTGCTTTCTGTTCGGTACGCATATGTATCGAACAATACAACATTTTTAATTTATTTTATCAACTTTTCTTCTGACGATGCTCAGTGGCTCCCCCACCCTCATTCAGATCTGGACTTTGGAACTATTTTGGTCTTCATGTGACGTATGACCCTGAAGGTAAGCGCATGGACAAAAGTAAAACAGTATGTCGGATGTGCCACGTAATGCTCAATTTGTGGGAACTAGTGCGTTAGCGCAGTTAGCTTGTTAACATGTTGACGCCATCCAGCCCCAAGCACGGGGCGATCCGCGGTAACTCGTTAACGGAGATTTGCTGCGTTATGGCATTAATGTCATTTTAACGAGATTAGCGCTGACAGCACTACTGGGAACACAACGAGTATCACTGCACATTTACACCGACATCATCCTAGTGCAAAGACTAGTGGAAGCAGACAAAAAAAAACAAGCACATGAGTCTCCTTATGGGGACCTGATCTGTTTAATATGTTGTTGAATATAGCCCAGAAGAAGCGTATAGTATAGCTTTTATTTTGGAAAGAGCCATTTCTCTGTAATAAACTCTCTTTTCCAAAGATGAGTGATTTCTCCATCAGATAGATTTATTTAATTTTTTTTATTTTGTTGTTTCAGCAACATTACATTTAAAAACTGTACTTTTGAGTTAATATATATATTTATAATTTTAATAAATGACAAATTGAAAAGGCATGAACATTTGTTTTGTATCGAAAAAATATCGAACCGTGACACCAAAGTATCGAACTGAACCGAACGGTGAATTTTGTGTATCGTTGCACCCCTAAAATATAAAATACCCCTAAAAAAAAATCTTTTTTATTTTATTTTTTTTTTTTATTTTGAATTTTGGCCCACTGTGTATTTGAGTTTGACACCCCTGTTCTAGATGGACAGTCAATCTTACTTGCTTGCCTCGTCTGTGAGTGGTCATACTCCTTTTGTTTATCTATGAAGTTGTAAAATCTGAAGATCACATGTAAATAACATTACATATAATGAGCGATTTAAAATAATAATAATTTGTCCATTGTTCCATAGAAGAAAATGTTCATGCTGGCAACATGCTCACATCCATTCTCAGTAAAATGTCACGTTGACGGCATCCTTTTGCAATTCTATAAAATTACAGAGTGAAAGAAATTACAATAGTGAACAAATAAAAGAAATTGTAAAAAGGGGGTTAAAGACAGTAAAATTTAACAGCATCCAAGTAAAGAGAAGTGAATAATTTCAACCTGGCTGCTTTTAGGAGTCAAATTGAGGTCAGTCATAAATAGATAAAGAGGACTGATTGAGATGGCCAAAGAGCAAATCTCAGCTCAGACTCACTCTCTTTTATACTTTCCTACAGTTTGCCACTCTTACGCGTGTTCTCTTCTCAGATGCAGCAGGAATTCAATTACCAGCTCTTCTTCCTTTTTTTTTCTTTCTTTTTTTTCTCCTTCTGAACTGGGTCTAGCGCAGTTATCCTGAGCTGTAACCGTAATCATACCACTGGCATTAATTGGGCTGTAATTGCTGAGGCTCTCGGCACCTGGACGATGCTTAATTGTGTGCACTGTGCTGGCACAATGACCCATAATTTTTGGTTCATTTTTTCCTCTAATTTTTTCCTTCTCATTCCATCTGTATTGCTCTCCCACACCTCTATCAGCCTCCCTTTCTCTTCTGTGTGTGTGTAACCATGTGTGTGCACCTCAAGTTTATACAGTCTTCACTCACTGTCCATTTGCTGTCTACACTTTGAGTTCACTTTAATTTTCAAATGAAACATGGCAGCAAATGTCTTCTGTGCATTTGCTTTGGCATTAAAAACATTATATGTAATTATTAACCTTTTGAAATGGCATATTAAAAACCTGCCCTGTGTCACTGACTTTGAAAACCAAACAATTTGTCCAATAAGAACTCTGTGTTAACTGTTTACAGGTACCTGCTTACAGATATAACCAGAATACTTAAACTGGTTATATCTTAACTGAATATTGTAAAATTGTTGGAACTGCCTAGGAGATTTTAAATGTTTTTTTCTGAGATTGATTTAAGCTCGGTCCCACTCATTTTTATTTTGAACATGTATTAGAAATGGCAGCTAGTTCCTATTTACCCCCACTAATATATCTCAAGCTCACTAATAAATCATTATAATCTTACAGATATGATAAAGATAGAAAAAAACTAGGACAGGAATGATGCACGAGCCGTGCTCCAGCCATGTGAAAAACTCCACTCCACCATTAGCTTGTAGAGCCACTTTAGCAGCAATAACCTAGAGAAATCATTTTCTAAGGCAGAGTCAGTGTCTCACATCATTGTTGAGGAATGTTGACCTGCTCCTCTTCATAGCATTGCTTCAGCTCATTGAGGTTTGCAGACATTCATTTATACACAGATCTCTTAAGGTCCCACCACGACATCTCTGGACTTTGACTGGGCCGTTGCAACATCGTGATTCTTTTCTTTTCTTTTCTCTTCAGCCATTCTGTTGTAAATGTGCTGCTGTGCTTGGGATCATTGTCTTGTTTCTTGACACGAGCTTTAGCGGCCTGACAGATGGCCTCACATTTGACTCTAGAATACTTATCTAGAATACCCAAATCATCCCCCTCCTGCCTGTGCTTGCGTGCTGTGTTAGGTTTTTGCCAAACATGGGGCTCTGCATTACAGTCACACATCTCCACCTTGGTCTCAGATGGGCTCACATTTGACTCTACGTCTCTGCGGTAGATGAATGTCCAAATGCTGTTTTTCAGGGTTTTGTTTTTTTTAATTACTCAGCATTTGTAATTATGCTGGGATGACCTGGATGCTTCAGACCTGCAAACTGTCAAAAACCTCTGCTTCTACAGTGCTCATACTTCCTAAGTGCATTTGATTATCAGCACCTGGTTGCTAATAATCAAATGTAAGCAGTAAGGAGTGCTCATAGTTAGCAGGTCAGACTGGGACCTGTGATAATAGAAGCTAGTTGTATCAAACTAACTGCTCTTACAGCAGTATAATTCTTCTGGTCTGGTTTATTAGAGCACTCTGGAGCAGCTCCACAGCCAGTTCCTGCTGGTTTTGGAGTCCCTGTCAGAGTTCTGGGATGTTCTGGATGAGATTGATAGCAAGACCTGGATTCTGGAACCGGAAAAACCATGTCACTCAGACACCACGAGGCGGATCGCCATTGGTACTGCTCCACACATCAGCAGATCTTGATGCCGCTTCACAGACCATAATACAACCAAATATTACAACCACCTAACTACCCACTGGTCTTTATAAGTGGATCTGTGTGTATGTGTGCAGGAAACAACGTCTCCATCAAAGTAGAGGTGGATCCCCGACACCCAAAGATGCTGCCAGAATGCTGCCTGCTAGGAGCAGAGCATGGTGGGTATGACCTGGGAGTCAAAGTGTGTTTGCAGGCAGCGCAAGAGCTCATCTGCAGTATTATAACCCCGAAACTAACTGACAATGATACAGCATGGGAAATACACAGTTATCAGGTGACATGCATGTGACAGTCACTAAGACGCCCACGTCCAAGCATTGCTTCTTGGACTTTTAACTTAACTTAAATGAGTTCAATTAAAAAACAAAGTAGTAGTTTCATAAATGGGATCTTCCTGAGGCCTGTGCATCCTGCCTGTCTTCACACAATAACGTAGCAGCTGAGGATCAGATGAGGCAATAAAGTCTAAATTCTGTCGTTATTCAGATCAGATCGGTGAGAAGCTACGAGCTGTGAAAGAAAATAGCACTTTTTTTTTTGCTCTCCACACATCTCTGGTTGTGTTGACTGTTGTGCGTTGTTGTGTCAGAGGATCTGCTTCCAGAGTGGCACATCTTCATTCCCAGCGCAGCAACACCGGAGCCAGTCAGCAGGCGAGCTCGGGCTCCAGTTTTCTATTTAAGTCCCCGTCAATTGTCGGCCATTGTTTCTGTAAACCCAAGGTCACGCGACTCCTAGCCTGTTGCCTAGCAATGCAACTCAAAAGATATTAAACACACGCACACTTCAGCCACCAAGACGGGAGGCAGGCAGCGACCCTCAAATACAGGGGGTCGCATAGAAATATTGCTTTTTGCATGTAGGAATAACAAACAGCGAGAGTGATGAGCGCTGCACGGAGACAAAGCTCCCCTGTGGAACGGCACAAGCAACCATGGTTCATATCTAACAGCGGTGACGCCGCTGTCTGTGCTGATCTGGGCCTTTGTCCAATAAGAGATGTTGTTTGAGGGTATGCAGAGTGCTTTTTTTTTTTTTTTTTTTTTTTTTTTTTTTTTAAAGGAAGTCTAATTTTCCAGGGCCTTATATACAGTGATAGTGTATCTGAAGCTGCTTGAAATGTGACTGCAGATCTAATTTAAGGCTGTTATTACTATTCTGATTTCCATCCAATTCCACATGATTTCTTGTGTTTTGTTTCAGTGGTGACTCCGCTGAGGAATAAGCTAAACGCTAACATGCACTTGTGGTAAGGTTTTCTCAGTCACTGAGCTTTCACATGCTAATTCAGCAGAATCTCTTTGAGCAGAAATTGAGCTCTGAATGTCACACACTTTCTGAAGAATATGGAATTATAATGTGATGTACTATGATATGATTTTTGCATTACTGTCAACAAATCAAATGGAAAAAAGCAAACCCATCAATACTTGCACAACACTTACTTATTATTTAACTATAAATAATAAGCAAGTGTTGTGGTTCCTATCAAAAACCGCTGTGAATGAAGAGCACATTCTGGACCTGCAGAGCATTCTCATCCACGTCTGCACCATCTATCTATCTTTCTTAGATTTAGCATCCTTTGGCTCATTATCTTTGACCTGCACAGAGAGCATTTTGAGCCACTCTCAGAGCAGTGAGCTGTTTTTAGATTAAAAGCTCAGAGGAACTCCCTGAATGGTACCTGCCCTTCACCAAACAGCACACAGGCCTGAGGCCTCGTCTACAAAAATATTAGATTATGTATTTGAACTTAGGCCCTCTTGTCTGTTGTGGAAGTAGACACACAGCTGCAGACACCATGGAGTAGTTGTTCCAGCGTGAATATGTGACAAAACTGCATTCTGTGAAACTCCCAGATGAGAAAATTGCCCATAAGGTGTCTTTCACTACTGCCTCAATGGACCGACCACTTTTCCCACCTTCCAGGCTCTGGTTCCTGATTTCCTACCAGGTCATGTCGGTCCCCGGTATCCTGTGCTGTCACTGGCAGTCACTTCAGTCACCTCAAAGCTGAGAAAAGGTTATCTCAGGACCCACCTACTTCGTTTTGCCAACATTTTTGTCCTGTCTCACTCCCCCCAGTTCTTCTTGCTAAAAGGGAGTTTTTTCTTCCCACTGTCACCATGTGCCCATGTTTTATACAAGCATGTGTACTACGAAAGGGTAAAACACAAGAACAACTCATCTGTGGTGTTTGCAGCTTTTCCACCGTGTCCATAACAAAGTGTCATCCGTGTTTTAATTGTTGGTTTTGGTCTTTTCTTTATTATTTGTGAGCATATCTGCCATTCAAACTCCAATTCTTTTTATCTTTACATCCAGGAGCATTATCAGTGTCTAAGTGGATCCCTGCACAGAGAGCAGAGAACCATTTGATTAACACTCAGGGGAAGAAGGGAAAAAAGTCATTTCCAAATGAAGCTGGGTACAGATTTAAATTTCACCCCAGGTTTTAACATTTGCCTCCCTGCATGACACACATCTCAGTAAATTCCCCTCCACCACTGTACAGTCTGAGGCAGCTCAAATGTTCCTGCTATTTTTTTTTCTTACATTTTATATAGCAGTAGTGAAAGTCTCCTAATCATCCCCCAGTGTCTTTGCAGGCTCATTTGCATGTGGTTAATTAGTGTGTGAAGGAGCTGTCTGTGGTCTGCTGGCAGGAACCCGGACTCCAGCGTCTTGCACAACCTCCAGGATGTTTTGGAGATCGAATTCCCATCACCTGCCACCCACGAAAAATCTGTATGTCACATAGTTGCCCCATTTTCCATTTCAAACGTGTCCCTTCATCTGTGTGTGTGTGTGTGTGTGTGTGTGTGTGTGTGTGTGTGTGTGTGTGTGTGTGTGTACATCTCTGCATACATTCTCCTGTTTGAGCTCAGAGTTCTAAGGGGGCGGACATACACTGCTGCTTATTTTCCCGTTTCTTTCCGCATTTTTCTTTGTGTGTTTTGTTTTTCTTAGAGGTGGGCTCCGGTTCTCCTTTAATTGGGTTGTTTACAGATAAGATCATTAGAATAACAAAGATGGCAGAATTCTCTGCACTATCAAACCGCTTTAATCACGAAAAACCATTTGTCTCTTTTTTTTTTTTTTTTTTTTTTTTTAAGCCCTCGTTTTTCTCCCCTCCCCTCTCTCTGGATGGGTTGAAAGGGTGTCCTGTTTATCCACTGTCGCCGCGGTGATTAATGCCTCCGCTTCATTAACATTCAGAGGAGTGCAAAAAAGTTGAGTTGACCAGATGTTGATTTTTGTTTTTTTTTTTCTTTCCTCTGACATCGTCTCTTTTAATGGATAGCTGCAGGAAAAACCCCCAAAGAAAACAGGAGTTACTCATTACACCAAAATGCAACGATGAGCAGGGAGAAAGGAGTTACGGGGTGACGTGTGGAGTGTGTGTGCTTTAGTGTGTGTGAGGACAGTTTGTGCCAACAAGCATGCTGCACATGCACATTCACTGCTCTCTGTCCGTGTAGAGTTTCAACCTTGAGTGTGGCATCTGCTATTCATATCGACTTGAAGCTGCCATCCCTGATCAGGTGTGTAATGACCCTCGCTGTGGGCAGCCCTTCCACCAGACTTGTCTCTATGAGGTATGAACACGAACACACACACACACACACACACACACACACACACACACACACACACACACACACACACACACACACACACAATTTGAGGTTTACAGCAGGGTTTCTTCCATTTTTAGATTGAACAATGAGATCAGACAGATGTGTTCACATCAGCTTTTTATAACAGATGAGAGGGAAAAAAATGCAAGCTGCATATAATGGCTCATCATTGGCCTTACATTAAAACTGGATATTAACTCAGTAAGTCTCAATGAAATATGTGTGTATGAACTATTTGACACGTTTGATGCAAGTTAATATGAAGGATTCAATAATGTTGTAGGCAACACAAAACCGAAAGCTTTTGAAACACATCGGACTTCAGTGGATATGTATACATGTGTTATGTTTTAGGAACAAAAGGATGCAATATCATTTGATGGAAATGCAAATTATTAACCTACAGAAGGCTGAATTCGGAGGCATCCTGAAAATCACAGTGAACAAAAAATTAATACAGCAAGGTAGTCCATTTTGTAGCAGGTCCACACTAATGGTGCAACTGCCGATTCTGGTATTCTATGGCAAATGCAAATGTCATAGAATACCAGAATTGGGCTCCACTGGGGCACAGGGCCCACTGGAGGACGTCAGCTGTAAGATGACCCTCATGAAGTCTGTTTCTGTATTTGTGGCATGCAAGCAGATACCAGTCCTGCTGATGAGTTAAGGGCCTTCTACAGCCCTGTCTGCCCTCTGCTACTCAGATGACCAGATCAATGTCCTGGAAGTTAAACAGAAATTTTTTTTTTAAGGAGAATATAGACTATGTATATAAAGATTACAGATGGACCGATCCGATATTACGTATCTGTCTGATACTGACGTAAATTACTGGATCGGATATTGGAGGGAAATAAAAAAATGTAATCCGATCCATTAAATACCAAAAAAGCACCTCAAAAAACTTGCGACATGGCATAACTCGGCTCACTACCGTAGCACGTCGGAGCAAGCATTCCCACGTTAAGCTTAACAACAGATATATGGAGCGACTGCCTCGCCCTCTCCTGCTGCTATTTCAATCATCAGCTGATCGGCTTTTCTGTCGCGAGTCTGTCTCTTTGTTTGTTTATCGCCCACTTCGCGCCAGAAAGAGGAAACCAGCGGCTGAACAACAGCAGTACGTTTAAGCTTGATAATCTGTTGTTAGAATTGATTTAATATCACTTTCTACACCAGGATCCTTTTCTACAGCTGACGGCTGGTAACTGTGCAGGGGCGGATCTAGCAAAGTTCAGCCAGGGGGGCCGATAGGGCATGAACAGGGAAAAGGGGGCACAAAGACATACTTTTCTTTCTTATTCTCATTTAAAATGTCAAGCTTTTAATAAATAATTATCCGAATCTTACACCCAAAGTTTTAATCTGATGTAAAATGTATAGAAGTCCATTACTGTATATAGTAACTATTAAGTCTAATATACCCCAGTAAGCTATAGTACTTTTTCCTTTGGGAAGGTATGATCTGTGCAGTGTGCAATTTTGTTGAAGAAAGATGTTGTATGTATTTAATTACTCTTGAAAAATAATTGATTTCTGTGCATTTTTTTTCACACTGCATCAAATTAAAGTTGATTACGTCGATTAAGCATCATGAGGTGGAGGGTGGGGGGTGGTTCCCTATTATTTATTTTTTTTTTGCTGGGAGTTTTAGAACCCCACTAGTTAGGTTGCTTACTCTTTAAAATACCAGAATAGGGAGGATGGTGCAGGTTTAAGTTTTTTAGACTGATCAGTATTGCTGAACTATAAAATATTTTGAGTGCAGTGTATTTTTTGCATACAGGTATAACAGAATAGCTTTAGTGTTTGTGTTTTTTTTACTTGAGTATGAACTTATACAAAAAGCAGCAAGATATTAAAAAAAAACTATCAGATTCATATCGGTATGGGACATAAAGTGGTATCGTGCCATCTCTAATAAAGATGTCTGACATGACAACAGCCCAGATGTCAAGCCACAGTGATATGACTTATTACGGAAATGTTTTTTATATATAGCTGACATATCTTGATATAGAAATATTCAAGTTGAATAATCTTTGCTGTCATACAGTATGTGATTTCTCAAGAATAAAATGACATAACAGCGGTCAGTGGAAACCAAAATTATCAAGTCTTTTTTTTTTTTTTCCTTTCTTTGAGCAATGGATATATTCATGGAAGCTACTTTGGGTTGTTTCCCTATTCAAAGGCTCACCACAGCAAGTAGGTTGGACCTGATGGTCTTCCTGATGCAAAAGGATTTGTTTGTTTGTTAGATGAGCGTGGAAACCACCACACTGTATAATTATGACTTTTTGAAAAAGCATGTGTGGCTGTATGTGGGTAAAAAACTGAGCATGAACTCACTGCTTAGGATGTATGGGTTCATATGACATGTGCCCAACAACTAGACTGTCACATCACCCATATTATAATCTCAGAAAGTTTAAGATTTACCCCGGACTACTTCAAAGCTACAACATGACCAAAAAACTGATCTGGTTATAATAATTTAAAAAAATCCCTCAGGACCACCAGCATGCCTCTGGGACACAATTCTCCATTTTTGACTTGAGTTTACAGTGCTCCCTCCTCAAACACTGTAAGGGTTCCTCCTGAGTAGTGGACACAGTTATAAACATCTATTTCATTTATTTGCTTAAATGAACAAAGTTTTGCGCATTACAGTTGCCATTTTCACTCAGTCATAATACAAAGCCTTATCCTGTTGCCTTCAGTGAGCTGCAGGTACAGTAAACATGCACATGAATACAGATTCCCCTTTGAGGACATACATATTGTAAACAGTGTTTCTAAACAGCATTTAATTTAATCAGGCACAAACGATTTGTGTTCATTAGCCATCAGTGTTTTAGTGTTTCAACAGGTGGGCTGCTCAAGGTGAGTGACAGTCAGATATGATCAAAGGTAGAACTGGACTAGCGCAGCCTTACGACACACAGGAAATGAGCACAGATGACTCTGTTTGGACTCTGTCCTCGGTGACATGCTGCACGGCCAGATATTGTTGAAGCTCAGAAACAAATCGCAGGACTCTAATCGACTTAAAAAAAAAGAGCCCTTCAATGCTTCAAGGGTGCTGGATAATCTTAAACATAGCTGTACAGAGTGTATATTGAAAGTGCTGTTATGAGCCACACATCAGATTCAAGGTATTGATTTGATCTTTTCTCTTTTGCCTTCAGTGGCTGCGAGCGCTGCACTCCAGCAGGCAGAGCTTCAACATTGTTTTTGGAGAGTGTCCTTACTGCAGTAAGGTATGTGTGTGCCTCACAGTGTGACTGACAGCTGCCTTCAGAAAGCCCTCAATAGACATTCAGCTTATTAATTAGCATGCCTCTATACATCCTGTAGCCTTTTCTTCTGCCACTGCGCTTTCGACAATGTGCTGCATTCATACACTTTGACTGAAGCTACTCCTCGTCTGATAAAGGAGTAAGCGTGTGATACTGCGTGTCTGTGAATGCAGCTCGCCACCGATTCAAAGTCAAAGACGGTTTTATTCGAGCGTGTGAGTTGCAGTCAGAAACGAGAGCCCCCTTCATCTTTTTATCATAAAGAAATCTTTCATCGCATGTTTACCTTTACAGAACATCTAATAGGCAGAATAAACTGAGGCTTGTCCTTCTATTTCAGCCCATCACTGTGAAAATGGCAGCCCAGAAGTCCTGATGAGAGGCTTTGTGTTCCCGGCTGCTCCATCTCCACTTTGGGAAGGAGCTTTGAAAGGAGCTGTTAAAACTCGTCGATCCATTAGCTCCTCAAAGGGGCTTCAATGTACTTTGGCAAACTCTGACAACAGCAAGCAGTAAAAGAAAGGCGCCCAGAAAGAGGAACCAGGACGTCAGCCATTCACTCCATTGGGGACCGGCTTCAGGACTTGAGTTTTTGGGAACAGACTCTTCCCATTTACCCAAAGCATCTCTGTAGTAGAGCTGGCTATCCCAGTACTTTGGATGGCTGTACACCGCTCTCTGGTGTGTGTGTGTTTGCCTGTCCATGTCACGGTTTGCTCGCTCTTCTTTTCTCCTTTGTGGGAAAACTCGGCGCTCCATTCTCGCTGAGATCAGGGGCACGTCATCTGTTTTGCTGCTTGTCCTTGTGGGGTTACGTTTCTGTTAAAGAAGGTAATTCAAGTGTGTGCACTTTGAAGCATTTAGGTGTCAACTTTCAATTCTGCTTTTTCTTTGTAACCTTTAGAAATCTGGAGGAACAACCTAACAGAAGAGTCTACAGCACATCGTAAAGATTTAGTCAGGTGTAAATAGTTGTTTTGTAGCCTTTAGTGTAAAACAGGTTCAAACTGCCCAAGCTGTGGCCTCACACCTGTTTGGGTTGAGCTCTGGGCTTTACTGGAGGACTTCTGAGATCACGTGCAGCAATGGGTTTGGGCCTTTCTTCCTCTTCCTCACTGTCAATGTCTTCATAACTGCACACAGGCCTTTGCCTCGGGGACCTTCTGACAGCAGGGAGAACTTCTTCCTTCTATATTCAAACAAATAAAAGGCAGTTTGACCAATCAGGAACTTGATCATTTATTTGACAGTGAAATTTAGTATTTTAAACAGCCACAGCTCTCAGGTGCATTACAGGTAGAGGGATGAACACATCAAAGTACAACATCTAATGGCAAACGCACAAGAACCCAGGGTGCTGTGTTGTCTGCACTGTTCCACCACTGATTTTTAGCTGTGGGTAACCCCTGCCTGTCCAGATTCATAATAAAACAAAAACACTAGCCAAATTATTCTTCATCTTCATAACGTGCTCATAGTGGAATCCATAGGGGACAAAATCCACTAACCAACCAATCGAGGCAGCAGTGAACAGCTCCTGTTTTATGAGGTAAAATGACTGTTTTTGTCAGTGGAGGCTGGTGGAGTGTAATGGCTTGTCTGACAGCAGGTAAAGCAGTAAGAATGTTCTAATGTTGGCGTCTACTTAAACCCATATTGGTTCTTTGAGGTGTGTAAAATCTGTGCCTGATGACTGTGTCCACAGCAGCGTGAGGTTTTAGATTCAGGCTCTTGTCTGTGTGGGAGATCACTTCAAAGAAACCAAATTATAACCTGCTGAGTGAAAACAGTTTACCCACGTATTACTTTTAACACAGAAATATACAACACAGTTCTGCAGCTCCTGACTGAGAAACCAACTGCTTTTATGCATGACCTGCAATATTACACATCGTACGTCTCCTGCTGATCACTCTGTTTTAACAAAGTGCCTGTGACAGATATTTGAATGTCATTCTGTCTAAAAATACTAATTTTTGATCCATTTTGTGTAAATCTTCCAGTGTTTCACCTTGAATATATTACATGAGAAGTTTGTAACTTCATTTTTCAGATTTCTTTTTAATGCAGTGTGTTTTGTGTGCAAAGGTCTTAAAAGCAGCACAAAGGCTGAAAAATGCTGGACAGTAATTTACTCAGAGTTTGGATGCCTTGTGGTGTTCATGTCATCTTGTACACACAGAGGTGCAACATCAGGTCAGTCAAAGCTGACCTCATCATTAGGTTAACTCCGGCTTCAGCTGTAGTCTCTGATCTTTCTTTTAGACACTTTAGCAGGAAGCAGAAATGTCACACAGTAAACTGTTACACAAGCTTCTGAACCCTTCTGATTTAATATTCCAGTGTATTTCAAATCTAGTTTCAAAGTTATTTTTGTATTTACAAGAGATGTTAAAATGGGACTCGGGTTATGTTGTCTCAGCATACTGTTGCATAAAGGGTGACAGTTAAGGTGTTTGAGGCCTTACCTGTTCTGACAGAGGTTTATTGATGGGTGGTCCTCTGATGTAGCCAGCTGGCACTGCTTTGGACTTTGCGCCTTCATGGACTTCATCATGGTCCTGTAGAGGTGCAGCTTTGGCTCTAGAGACTCCGCTCGCTCCTCCTGCTTTCTGCTGACGGAAACAAAAAACAGTTTTATTATCTCTGTGATGGCTGATGTGAGGCCGACACGACTGCTTTCTAACTGACCTCATTTCAGTCACAACATTATCTGCGAGCTTATTTCTCCTCCTTTAATGCAACGCAGCTGGAGGATAGATTGGGTCAGATATGAGATCCTGCCTTCTTCAGTGTACGAAGCTATACAGTGCAATTTAGTTCAGTGTTCTGCGTTTACTTCACCGTGTGTCACCTGCTAGCAGGAGAGCTAACATAGCATTAGCTGACGCTAGACAAGCATCAGCAGTTTGTCTCAGATGAAGGTAAGGCTTTCACTGTCCACTTCCTCATCTCAGCTACTGACTCTCAGTTTGTTTCTTTTACTGGACTGTTACTGTTGTCAAGTCCAAAATAAATACTCAAACTCAATACCAATATCCAGGAGAATACACAGTCACATTTTTCATGTTACACATAGGCAGAACTGATAATATTTGCTGCCTGATGCAAGCACCAACATTATCACTACAAAAGTTGCTGCTGAGTCCAGATTCTGTGTGAAGCCTCAGTCTAAAGGCCATTTCCTCTGAACTCCTGATCTACAGCTGTGCATGCTTTGCTCCTATGTCTTTTAATGTCACGTGAAATCTCTTTACCCCATAAGCCCATCTTTGAACTGTCTTCCTTAAATAAAACTTTGCCTCACTACAAAACTATAATCCTCCATAAAATAATTCCATATTTATCCAACACTAGTGGCAAATGATTGTGTGAACATACCCATTCAGTGGCCTTTATCTCAGCTGACATTTACTCTCCTCACTAAACCGCCTGTAAATGGCCACTTCTGTTTAACTAGGGATCAAACTGGCCAGCACTTTAGCATGGAAATTAAATGACACAAGGAGAGGAGAGGAAATCAGGAGCATAATTGGAGACACCCTGTGCTCTGTAGTGTGTGTCATCAACTCCTTCAAATTGGGCCGTTGATAGTAGGGGGGGTCAAGAAGTTATTCTGTTAAATTGAGGCAGAATCGCAGCCCTCCAGCTTCAGACCTGACCACCTCTAGTTCACATGCTCGTTGGGGCAGGTTAGCCCTCCCTTTCACTGCTGTCACAATTTAGCACTCAGGGTTAAGAGACTGAGCTGGGGAAATGAGGATCTTTGTGGCCAAACACTTAAGTAGTTGAATGTTGACTGAATGGTAAAATTCTGTCAATTATCACCAGTCTTAGATCTAATTTTTTTGGTGTATTCTCAGCTTCCGTGTCATAGTGGTTATTCTCCGATGCACGAGAAACATTTTAAGGAGGGCCAGTCAATGGTGAGAGTAATCAGACCATCACATCACAAAGATTCCCACTGGGGTTAAAGCCAGCAGTCTGTGGTGGTGAATCATACTTTCATAATCTGCCTGACGAATCCTGGCGTTGTCATCTTGGAATACGCCTGTGCCTGTGAAGTGACCACACCCGCTGAGAAAGTGAGCTGCTATAGACAGATGTCCAACTGAGCCAACATTTCAGTAAGAAGCCAAATACCTACTGGAGGATGAAGGTGGGTTCACAGGATTTCAGTGCATAAAGGAAAAGATGTCAGTGGTGCCAAATTTTTTCCACACCATCTCACAGGTTTTGAGTCCTCACCTTTTCCTTGGCTCGAGGATCTTTGGTGGGCGATTCCCCTGCAGCTCCCTGTGGCTTGGACAAATCAAGTCCTCCCCTGACAGCACTGCCCCACAGGTTTTTAAGATACTGGTAATCGGGCTTCTCTTGGTAGCCCAGTTTGTTCACATAAAGGAGGAATTTGGCCACCTCATCTGAAGACAGGAGCAGAGTGGACATCAAGAATCAGATATGTTAAGTGATACTGATAGTGATTTGATTAAATCTGGTTGGATTTTTACAAAGTTACTATTCCAGAAAGTGTGCATCTTCAGAAAATGAAGCACCCTGTATATTTTTGAGTGTGTGTGTCTATGTGTGTGGTGGTATCTCTCCGCAGAGGAGATCAAGCGAGCACGTGGCTAAGGACCTGCATGTGTGGAAGTGTCATACTCAGTCAGTCCTGATGCATCACACACTGGCCAGGTGACATGTCTGGCACATACTGCAGTAGCACGGTGACACACACACACACACACAGGGTTGATGCATACCCCAGCTCTTATCTGTGGCGGGCAGCCGGGCTTTGTCAGCAGAGGAGAATCTAGTCCCAACCATACATCACACACCGAGCCATAGCCCAGGTGTGACCTCTCCTTATAAAGAGGAGAGATAAAACACGACTAACTTTGAAAGGCATGTCAATGGGACAGCTGTTTAATTGCTACAAAGTTATTCTGGAGCTTCAGGTGAGAGAAAAGGAGACAGTGTTTTATTCTGGGTGGGACATTTTCATGTAGCCTGAACTGTCACAGCCTCGTCTCTTCTTATAATCCAGTTTAAAGATTGGCTTAAAAATGCCTGAAGTGAAGCCAAACTAAGTTTAGCCTCTTCATTGAGCTCAGCAAATAACCACACAGCTACACCAAGTTTATGTGTCACGCATCATCATTTTCACCCAGCTAGCAAAGGATTTTGCACTCTTTGCATTATTAACGTACTGGAATCTTAATTTACGATGGGAATCTAAGGTCACAACACCAAACTGTAAATATTCGGCCATGCCGCTTAATCTTTGAAGTCAGGAGTATAAAGTCAAGCAGTTAGCCACACAATTTGCCTACACAGTGCGTAAAAGTCACCCACACTGTGCTGACTCAGTTCTTGGATCAGATTCCAAGCAGCATGTGGAAGAATACAGAAACACCTGTAGAGTTGGGCTGTAGCTATATTCCATTAGACCTGAACTTGCCTTCAGTATATCTCTATAAGTAAAAAAATCTTTGAAATAGTCCATTTGTAGAGAAAATATAAGTAATGACATCATTCTAATGACTAGAAAAGTCGTCATCTTAGATATGTTGTTTCTACATTAACACGTACTGATTTAAAAAAATAAAGAAGTGCTGCTCTGTCTAATCTTGTATTCTTATTAACAGAGACTCTCAGTAAACCCAGAGCCCAAAAGAAGATTTTTCTCTTCCCCTCCAAAGGCTTGTAGTTTTACTTTCAAATTCTCTCGTTAACCTGAGAAGTGGAGAACAAGTTCGCTAACCTGAAGATGCCCTTTGGCCTTGGCTTACCTGTGCTGGCTCCGCTCACTGACAGCTGCTGGACTGAATGTGGCAGATTATCCATCAGTCTGAGAGAAGAAGTGAAAACAGAAGAGGTGAGAACAGAAAAGATCTGAGAGATGGACTCGGGCAGAGCAGAAGAACGAGTTGAAATGAAGCCAAAGCACACAACATTAGTTTTTCTCACTCTGACATCAACTACACACACTCAACATAATTATTAGGAGTAGATTATGTATGCAACACTGCTGTGGAGTACATTCCATATATATCTAGCCTCATATCAGACAGAGCTGTTAAGTCATTACACTCTTATTTGCACTTGTAGTATTTGTTTCTTTTTCATTAAATTTAAAAAGAATTAATGGAAACTTTAAAAGACCATAAAAACCTGGAGAACTATTGCTGAAGACCTCATTAAAAATTACAAGAAAGTCTTGTCTTATAGAAAGCTCACCCAGAGATAAGGAAATTCTGGGTGGCTCAAGACTTTTGCACAGTACTGAAGCAGAGGAGACTTGGCAGCCACCCTAGCATGAATCCAAGCTCCAATCAAAATGAATGAGAGCTCCATAACTCTAAAAGCACACAGTAAAATCTGCCCTCAGGTATAACTTCAACAACAGACAAGAAAACTTATCCTGTTTAATGAAATGCGCTCAAGCAGTGTCCTGTAAGCGAAACAGACTCAAAGCTTTGATATAATTTTACCACTCCTTAAACCAGACAGGTGGACTGGGTGATGTCTGGGTGGACATCATTAAAACAGACTACACCTATGCTATGCTGCACATGCTTCTTTAAGGCAGAAACAGGAAGAAAGGTAGTAACGATTTATAGTTATGTTAATAAGTGAAATTCCAGTATCAGACTGTGTGTGTGTGGTACTATATGTTGTACTGTTAGAGCAACAGATGCTGCAATGCAATTATTATAATTTAATTTCACTACAGAAATCTGCGACATCAGTCAACAGCTTTTCATGGCAATAAAGAGACTAATCCAGAAAAAAAGATGTTTAAAATCTTCCACCCTTCTGTAGAGAGTACCCGGATACACGGTCAGTCTCAGTTACTCCCTACCTGGTCTTTGCCTCCTGGACCTGAGTTGGATTTTTGAGGACGTCGTCCCAAGGCAGAGACCCACATAACCAGTGAAGGAGACAGAAACCCAAAATTTGGAGGTCACCACGTCTAGATGCCGCTGTAGAGGAAGAAAAATGAGATGATGGTGACGGTGCAGTACTGCTAGCATAATTCTATAAAGAATTTAAAGAAGACAATGAAAAAGTAGAAGCACGTAAGTCCGTAGTTAGAAAATATTGCTGTTTGTCGTTCAATCAAATAGTTGGGTTTTTTTTTCCTGTAGCATAGCCGAGGTTAGACACAAGTACTCTTAAATTTTGAGGTTAAAGCTAACACAGTAGAAATCAATCAAAAAGGCTGAAGCACAGATACTAATTCTTACACTGTGTCATCTCTCAGTGGGTTATTTTGTTTGGCCAAACAGGATGGAAACTTATCAAGACAAGAAAGTGTATATCAACTAGATTCCTCTTTTCAATTACAGTCTCTATGTGAGATTGAATACTGTGTTATACCATCATGATGACTTTTTGGTGGGTGGGTTCAGCTTCTACTTCCAAATGGACTTGTGTAGCTTCCCACACTTACTATGATTAAAAAACCCTTCTGGAGGATTCCTGCTGACTTATTTGGTCATTTTTTCTTTAGGATCTTTAAATGAAAAAAAAAAAAAAAACCTGTGCGTCATCCAGACACTCAAAGTAAAACTTCAATGACTGGTTGTAACACACATCTCAGTTCAAATCACTACCACATGTTACAGAAGTCAACAGTAGTGTACTGCTGACCCCATCTGTGCTCTTCCAGTCTGCTAACAGAAACATTGTTTTGTTTTTTTTTTAAATGGTGGAACTGATTTCACTTTAGTCTGAAACTGGTGGGAAAGTGAAAGGCAGATCACAGGCTCTCGATATAAAAGTCTGTATTTAAAAGATGGACACAGCTACCATGACATCACCCAATTGGTTTCGGACTCCACATCTTTAAGCACCAACACTAGTGGTTTGACTGCAACATGTTGGTTTTTTGAAGCCAAAAGTGACACATGGTCAATCAGTGGGACATAACAGACTGATTACTAGAATATATTCATCAAAACTAAAGGACAAGCTTCCAGGAAATATTGTTTGTCTGATAGACTGCTTAACTACAGACACGAGAGCACAATCCAGTGAAGTGACTTAAATTAGCAGAGTTGAAACCCTGCAGGGGGCACAGCCGGCTGTGTCGGCACACCTGATAACTCCAAGGTGAGACATGAAAACGATTTAAAAGCTCGTACCCTCAACAGTTGTTATCAAGGAGGAACCAATCTAAAGAGTACAAAATATGTGTCTCACACCAGACTGTAAAAATGCTTTACATTGCTGGTAAGCTCGGCATTTAAACATTGGAGTCTGTGGGGACTGACTCCGTGTTCAAGCGTGCCTCAGATGGCTGTCAGAGGAACTGGAGTTCTGGCGCTTCCACACTTCATTTTTTAGATGGGGCGATCGTGGCTCAAGAGTTGGGAGTTCACCTTGTAATCGGAAGGTTGCCGGTTCGAGCCCCGGCTCGGACAGCCTCGGTCGTTGTGTCCTTGGGCAAGACACTTCACCCGTTGCCTACTGGTGGTGGTGGTCAGTGTCCGGCAGCCTCGCCTCTGTCAGTGCGCCCCAGGGTGGCTGTGGCTTGCCATCACCAGTGTGTGAATGGGTGGATGACTGGATATGTAAAGCGCTTTGGGGTCCTTTAAAGCGCTATATAAATACAGGCCATTTTCCCAAAGGAAAAAGTACTATAGCTTACTGGGGTATATTAGACCTAATAGTTACTATATACAATAATAGACTTCTGTACATTTTACATCAGATTAAAACTTTGGGTGTAAGATTCGGATAATTATTTATTAAAAGCAACACATTTTAAATGAGAATAAGAAAGAAAAGTATGTTTCTGTGCCCCCTTTTCCCTGTTCATGCCCTATCGGCCCCCCTGGCTGAACTTTGCTAGATCCGCCCCTGCACGGTTACCAGCCGTCAGCTACGTAGAAAAAGATCCTCGAGTAGAAAGTAATATTAAATAAATTCTAACAACAGCTTATCAAGCTTAAACGTGCTGCTGTTGTTCAGCCGCTGGTTTCCTCTTTCTGGCGCGAAGTGGGCGATAAACAAGCAAGAGAGACGGACTCGCGGCAGAAAAGCCGATCAGCTGATCATTGATCAGTTTGACGATTGAAGTAGCAGCAGGAGAGGGCGAGGCAGTCGCTCCATATATCTGTTGTTAAGCTTAATGCAGGAATGCTTTACAAACATTCAGAGATGAACTTACACACTTGTTTTACTTCTCTCTGAGAGAACTTCCTCGGAGATGAAATGCCAGATTTCAGGCTACAAATACACACAGCCGCTCTATCACATGAGCACACTGCTCCGACGTGCTACGGTTATGAGCCGAGTTACGCCATGTCGCAAGTTTTTTGATGTGCTTTTTTGATATTTAATGGATCGGATTACATTTTTTTATTTCCCTCCGATATCCGATCCAGTAATTTACGTCAGTATCGGACCGATACGTAATATCGGATCAGTCCATCTCTACTGTAGAGTACAATTAGAGTGGATCAGTTGCTGACTTTAAAGAACTATTGTTCTCAATATGTGGCTTAGACCTAAGAGTCCTGTAATCAGCCATCTCAGCACTGTAAATATCCCAACACAAAAAAAGTTTCCACAAACCATAACCAGGGATCTGAACGGCACAAGTTGATGTTAGGGAACTAAATAGATTTTACAAGTGTGGCTTCCCATGTACTAAAGCAGTGGTGTCAAACTCAAATACACAGTGGGCCAAAATTCAAAACTGGAACAAAGTCGCGGGCTAACACTAATATTTATTGAAAAACAAAATCTTCCTCCAGATATAAGAATGAATCTTTTCTTATGGACTCAAACAAGTTTTGCTGAAAAACTTAATATGGAACAAGCAAAGCTTAATACTAAACGATATATATATTAGCTGTATAATACCAGTAGGCCAGCTCTAATAGTAATTTGGTATGGCTTCGCGGGCCAAATGTAATTAGGCTGCGGGCCAAATTTGGCCCGCGGGCCAGAGTTTGACACCTATGTACTAAAGCTTCTTTAAGAACAAGTCCAGACTGTGTTTGTGTCTTATTGTGGTTGTGTGTGTGACTGCATGAGTCTACATTAATGTGTGAGGTCTATCAATATTTAGCGACCAAGTCCATCCAGAGGGGTCGAGCCCAAGGGTTTTAGCAGCTCAATACTGTAACAGCCGCCACACGTCTCGGGAGAAATTACCTATCGACTGACTCCATCAGAGGGGAGAAATCTCCTCCCTGAGTCGCAGCCAGCATTGATCCTCTCCAGCCAATAGTCTGGTCTAAGGAGGAAAGCGTGGTCACTGGCACAGAAGACCACATTATGTGGGATGGGAGGGCAGTAATCTGACAACGTGCAAATTCTTGAAATGTAAGTATTCAAATGTACGAATGCAAGGTTACATCTTCAAGATGAAGATGGGCACAGATCACCTATAAGTACTAAACATTTCAAGGAAACATTGTTGTATCTGAGTCAGAAACTGCAAGGCTAGCATAGAATACTAAAGTGGATCCAGCAGGAAGTCTAAATAATCAGTGAGGCTGGTCAGAACAGGAGTAGTGGTGAAAGACTGGATGTATAGAAAGGGGGTTGAGAAAAGAGGTGTTAGATAATGCCTCCCACCCAACAGCATGTGCCGTTTCTATGGAGTATTTAAGAAAAGATTATATGGATATACCACACACACACACACACACACACACACATATATTAGGAGTACAACGATACTCGTATCAATATTGAACCGTTCGATACAGTGCTTTCGGTTCGGTACGCATATGTATCGAACAATACAACATTTTTTATTTATTTTATCAACTTTTCTTCTGACGATGCAGTCTTTGTTGAGCGCTCAGTGGATCTGCGTTCAACTACTCTGCCTAGGCTGCACTATCGAGTGCAGATCCACTGAGCGCAGCGCAAGCTAGCAAGACAGAAGCTAAGCTTGTTGCAACATGGCAACTGCCTCAATGCTACCCGAAATTGAACCTCCCCCACTCTCATTCAGATCTGGCGTTTGGAACTATCTTGGTTTTCATGTGAAGTATGACCCTGATGGACAAAAGTAAAACAGTATGTCGGATGTGTCACGCAATGCTCAATTTGTGGTTAGCTTGTTAACGTGTTGACGCCATCCAGCCCCAAGCACGGGGCGATCCGCGGTGACTTGTTAACGGAGATTTGCCGTGTTATGGCATTAATGTCATTTTAACGAGATTAGCGCTGACAGCACTACTGGGAACACAACGAGTATCACTGCACATTTACACCGACATCATCCTAGTGCAAAGACAAGTGGAAGCAGACAAAAACAACAAGCACGCATGCTACAAACTTTACCCGAGTCATTTAGACAGCCGTTTGGCCGCGTTAGCACACGAGTCTCCTTATGGGGACCCGATCTGTTTAATATGTTGTTGAATATAGCCCAGAAGAAGCGTATAGTATAGCTTTTATTTTGGAAAGAGCCATTTCTCTGTAATAAACTCTCTTTTCCAAAGATGAGTGATTTCTCAATCAGATAGATTTATTTTTTTATTTTGTTGTTTCAGCAACATTACATTTAAAAACTGTACTTTTGAGTTAAAATATATATTTATAATTTTAATAAATGATAAATTGAAAAGGCATGAACATTTTTTTGTATCGAAAAAATATCGAACCGTGACACCAAAGTATCGAACCGAATCGTGAATTTTGTGTATCGTTGGACCCCTAATAAAAAAAAAAAAAATTATAATAATATTATATATATATATATATATATATATATATATATATTATATATATATATATATATATATATATATATATATATATATATATATATATATATATATATACACACACACACACACACATGGAACGCCATAACCAAGTGGCCGGCATAGTGTACAGGAACATCTGTGCCGAGTATAACCTGGAAGTCCCGAGGTCAAAATGGGAGATGCCCCAAGGGTGGTGGAGAATGACCGAGCTAAGATCCTGTGGGACTTCCAGATACAGACGGACA